TTACTTCAAATTATTTCAGTATAGGGCTCGAAATTTATTAGCCTTAAAAGTATTAATCAAGTATTATTAGTCAACTTCATATTGAATTTCATTATTCAGACAGAATTTTTAACGATTAAAGCATGTTTAATTACTTGCTTTTGTAATTATGATTCTTCATTATGGAAAAAAAAAGTTTTTCGATGTTTTTTAGCTTCTTGCCAATTGACCTCTTAGGCATCTCATTCATATCTACACTTACTGGAGACATGAGAAATAATTCTTAATCTGTTCCTATGACTAAAGGATAAGTGAATCTTGATTACGATTTTTTTTGAAAATGATTATTTGATTTTCATGCGACTTTGATCGTATGAAAATCAAATAATGAAGTTTTTTGTATAAAGGAAGTGCAGTCTAAATTGAATGAAAACAATTAAGATCAACAAATAGTAAGAATAAGCAAGCATTATTGGTCGAAGGAAGTTGCAAGTGATATAATTATGATAAATATCTATTTTGCACTGACGTATCTATTGTTTTGGTGATGAACACATAAAATCAAGTGATTTGGGAAAAATTATTTATATTTTAGGTATATCGATGGCAAATTGTTGAGCAAGTATAAAACAGTGATATACAGATAGTTTAGGGTATGGACAAGAAGAATGGATGGGAAAGCATATTGTGGAGGATCAACTTTATATTACTAAACAATGACTTGGAATTGTTGCTGATTAATGAAAGTGGATGGATTTACAGGAGGATAAATAAGATTTACAGGAAAAACCAAAAAATGCATGAGTTAGTTTTTGACTTTATATAAATTCTTACATTCAAATTCTTTGTAATGTTCAAAGTAGCTGAAGTGACTTCTTTCTTGATATGAGGGATTTGCGAAATCTCAAAAAAATTTAGTGGTGTTGCACGTTTTTGAAAACTAGCAGATTTTAAGAGAAAAAAATGTACGCATGATAAGTATAAGTTTGTCTGTGTTATTCCAAAACAATAAAATGATGGAAAATAGATGGCAAAATGAAGGAATCTCCTTCAGCAGCATAAAACTAGGAGAGATGATAGCTCTCATGAAATAATTTCACAGCTACTCTAACTTTTGCTTTTAACTGCAGGGTACAAAAAATTCGCTTATGGTGATCTTAAAAGATATCATTGGTGTTTGTGATTACAGAAATATATTTGGGTAATTTACTCTCAAAAATTGCAAATGTTTAAAATAAATGTCAAGCAAAACTGCTCCTAAACCTAACACATATCAAAATACATTGCCGCAAGAATGAATGTAGTTATGGGAATGAATATAAAAGATGGAACAAGAAACTCATACTTCCTTAACTGATGACGTAGAAAATGTAAACACTGGAATTGACCGCCACCTTCTTTCTTTTGAAAAATAACTTGTTGGGAAATATTGGCTGCGAAGATTGAGAAGAACGTTGGGAAGTAAGTCGGTGGAAGTAAGGGGACATAGTGGACAAGTAGAGGTTGTTTCATTTACACCGAAGACCTTCACCGGAGCAGGGAAGCACAGAGTTTCGCCACCAGGCACCGAGCAAATAAAAGTTGGTGGCCCTTCGACCAAATAGACACATCATCGTCATATCATTTAGCCTTTATTTGCTTCGTAGTGAATTTGTTTGACATGGATAGGAGTTGCGATGAACTTTGAGGAATATCATGAGCAGCAAGCACACTCTCATATTTCAGCAAAGGCTTTTTCTTCTTAAAACAGTGTTTTCAGCTTCGTCTTGCACTTCGTTGATTCATGCTATAAATCAGTGGGTCTTTAGTACTATTACACCTTAACTTTGAGTCAGTTATAAATGCAATAAAATACATGCACTTCTTTGCTAGCTTATATGCAAAACAGAGAAATAACAAAATTCAATTTTTATTGACAAAATCTTCAATATCTGTAAGCTATTTACTATGTTCTCAAACAGAAAAATTTCTGATCATATCAAATTCTCTTGCATTTAGATATTCTAAGAGAAGACAGTTTTAAACAGCTTTCTCAATATCGAATTTTCATTTTGCTGTATTATTTTTATGTCTCAGTATACATTTTCTATTACGATCTGTTTACAGATTTCTTAAGAATGAGCCAACTTAGTCTGCAGTCAAAATGATGTTAACAAAAGCGTGGTTAAGGAATCTGAATATTTAGTGTTAGTTACAAGTTTTGAGATGCTTCATCAAAACAAAAATCACTTGCACCATATCTTTCCAGCTAAAGCAAATGATATGTATCATTGATTTATTGCGCTGACGTGAAACCTCAAGTCGCTTTGTTTAGCATAATCTTGGAAAGTTTACGAGAAACGTTTCATACATAGTAATGATATTGTAGTGCTGTGCAATGTAGACGATTATTTTATAGTGGAAATGAATGATGTGTGAAAAATTATAGTAAAAAATGATTCATTCACTTCAAGAGGTCATTAACTGACAAAAACTAAATCGGATGAATTAAATAAGAATGTACTACGTGGTTAAAAAACTGCTCAAGAAATGACTAGCTGAATTGATATAAAGCATGACCATAATCTCTGACAGTGCAAATTATTTGTTAAAATAATTTTAAATGTTTATTATAAAAGTTAAGACATACTGTTTGAACTTGGTAAATTATTCTCTGTAAATTTGTAAGAAAAAATCCAGTCAGTAAAGAAACTGAGAACTCAAGAGACAAACAAAGTGCGTTGCTAATAACAAAAGTAGCCATTGCATATTAAAGCGGTAACTGAATTTGATAGAACACTTAGAATTCCAACTCAGTAGCTATAAAGTATGACACTGTCCTTCGCCTTTTTATTACGGAAATTAGGCATTTATTTTTTTAAAATCCCGTGAAAACAAAAGGCAGTAAGTTTTATAGTGAACAGTCCAACGTGTTTTCACAAAAATGATGACTTCTTGAAAATGAAGCTGAAATAAAGTAAAAAGTTGACTCACTCATAAGTATTTTTCATATACAACAATAGTCTTTTTCTTTGTACAGAACATGAACATTATGTGTCTTGCTAAAAAACCCATTCTCAAATGTTTACCCAGGAGTAGTGCTTCAGTGAGCAGATAATGTTTTGTTGAGAAAAATCAACTATTGCTTTAATTTTTTACAACTTGCATGTTATTCGTTGATATGAATGTGATCACTGAGTACTATAGTTGGTCACTATAAATTCATAATTGGCAGTACATTACTATTACTTTATAAAAATAATCAATAGTGTCAAATTAGTGATAAAGCAAACATATAAGTTGTTTAATTTTATTTCTGCAAACATTGTATATGAACTGACATTAGGGATAACAGGCCTTTGATAATTTAATTTATAAGGCTTTCCTTCCGGAATTTCTAGCATCTCATATGAGACATTTTTTCTTCAGTCATTCTTTTTTCGAACAAAATTGATTATCTCAATAATAATGTTATAATATTCTTTATAATTCACAGTGATCATTAAAATGGTAATGACTGGTATAAAACACAAATTTACAACTCGATGAAAGCTTTGAAAAAAAACTTGTCGGCAGCAGATGTTTTTTCCTCCATCTGCTATTTACTCATAAATATTATACTGGCATCTAATTAAATTTTACTGGTCAGCAATCGATTATTATTTTTTCGTTATGGGTATACACACAATTAACAGTTGGAAACTTTTGGAAATGAGTGCAAGTCTGATAGACCTAAAGAATTGAATTTCGAAATTGAAAGAAATAGTGGCTTTAGTGTTTGTGAAAGTGTTCGAGAGTACTGAAGATATTTTTCATATAAGTCACAAAATCGTAGTGCTCTTTCGTTGAAAAAGTTTTCAATAGATAGAAAATGGGATTGAAATTTGTAGTGCGTCAAAAACTAACCGATTGATCGTATTGGTTTGTTCTGTTACGGAAATTGTAAAAATAGATCTTGCAGTTTTCTTGTTGTTCCTATGACTGCATCATGCAAAATTTACCATGTGGAGTGTATTGGACAATAAAATTTTTAATGCTGTTGAAAACATAACTGAGAAGGAAAGGGTGAAATTGATTGGAAATTGTATTCCAAAAAGAGGAAAGAAATTTTTGCCGAAGAAGCTTAAAAATTTTCAAATAATTGTGGGTCATGGAACGAGTTTTTTGTTTTCACGGTGACTGAAAGGAGAAAAGGAGAGAAGGAAATAAAGTAGAATAGCAATACCATGAGTATTTTAGTAGCACGGAGTGAGTGAATTAATGGATTTTGATGATTTATTTGCAGTAAGATCGTTATGTGGATGCAAAAAGTACCCTTCTGTGGATTACGCGCTGAAATTCTCGGAAATATGAGAGGGCAGAACTGCGATGGGAGGGGAAAGTGGAAGGCAATGAAAGTGGGATAAAAATGGAAAGTTTATGAGAGAAACAATGGAGGATGAAAAGGAAAATTGTTGAGCAACAGCAGCAGGGCATTCCTTCGTTGGAATTCCTGAACTGTTACCAGTTATGTCCATATTCCACTTCTCGTTAATTCTTATACTTCATTACTTACCACCAGGTATTATTATTACATTGTAATACTTACTCGTTAGTATATTATATTATTCAAATTAATTTCGAACTATTTTCATTTACAACGGAATTCTAATATTTTATTCACTAATTAAAGTAATGTAAGAAAAGGTTGAGAAAAGTGAGGAAATGTCATGCAAAATTCACTATCAATCTTTTATTCCTTCCTCTGCGGAGAATCAGATGGCCGAAGCTTATTCACTGCTACATTTGTTGTAATAGAACATGCTGATACAAAACAATTTGGCGGATTCATTATATCAGAGGCGGGAATATCAAATTTCAATCTCGCTCAATTTCACGACTCATTTCTTAACTTGCGCAGCAAAATTATTCCAGAGCTTTCTTTCCAATAACTAAATTGTGAGGATGTTCCAATAAATCACTTTTGAGTTCCTGGTTTTGTCAACTAACAGATTCATTTATCTCATTGTCACGTACTGATAAAGGTTGCAGGAAAAGGATGTATGCCTGGATACAGCTATGAACGTATGAAATTGAAAGAGTATCTTGGAATTGAATGGATTGAAGGCGGTTTCGATATTACTGGTGAACAGTGATTGAAATTTCTTCAAATAATGTTAAACTTATCCTTTATTTTGCGAATCTGTAAAATCAGTGCCAGTAAACGAAAATGAACAAGTTTTATAATTCTGCATCATTTAATTTCTTTGTTATAAAGATAGTTCTTTACTCATGTTCAATTATAGAGATCTGAAGTACTCTAGAGCCGCAGTTTTAAGTTTGTTTTTAGGTGAACGTGACCATAAACCAATACGTCATGACTATGATTTGGACTGTAAGTTTGATGATGTAACGAAATGCCAGTGGCGAAACATAAGAATGAATGAAGCTCTTGATTCACTTGATTTTCATTTGTTTGAAAAAATTGATTTCACGGAATTTCCCGTACTACAAGTTCGTCCAGGGCCTAGTCGCTTAAAAAGAGGTTTGATACAATTTCGACATTAGGTGAAATTTAGAATTATTGAAATGCTTGATAGAATAATGATAATGCACTGATTATTTGTCAGCTGGCTTGATTGTGGTGGCAAGTAATCGTGACATCAAATAAGGTTCCGTTGGTTTATGAAATAAATTTTTAATCCTGCAAATATTTACGAAAGTATTAAAACAATGACCTTGCTGGCGAACTTTATATACTAATTTAAAATCTAATTTCTGTCTCATTCAGAATAGTCCAGCATTTTTGAAATGGCTACAGATAGACAGCAGGGAAAAGTAGCTAAAGTGATTATAAAGTGATCATGAACTAGGTATGCAAAAATCTTTTGGTTCCAGGTGATAAGTTATTGTTTACCGGAGATCGAAAACGAGAAGAACAAACTGCAATCTTGAAAAGCTCACCCATTCTTTGTCAGAACAGTACCGGAATTCTGACCTTTTCGTTCGTTTTTTGTTCAGCGAAGCTATTTTTAAATTAAGAAAGTTACATATTTTATACACTAGAAATTTTATAGATAATAATTTCTTCTTGAGATTGAGTCTTATAAAATTCTTCCAGAATAAGTTTGCGAATACTTTCTAGACTAATTTATCAAAATAATAGGTTTTGGTTGTACAATGGAGCAGGGGTAGAAGTAGTATTACTAAAAGAAAAAGGAAGTCAGCTTGTTGTTTTACCAGAAAAACCATTTGTTGATTGTGGTACTGTCCTAATCAATACGGAATGTACAGTTGAAATTCCTCCGCAAAATGAAGAATTCAGGTATTATCGGTTTCAAATTCTCATTCATGGTAATGAATGAAATGTCGTTGTGGGAATGAATATAAAAGATGGAACAAGAAGTATTATTAGTCAACTTCATATTGCATTTCATTATTCAGGCAGAATTTTTAACGAATAAAGCGTGTTTAATGGAAATGACTTGCTTTTGTAATTATAATTCTTCATAATGAAAAAAAAAATAGTTTTTCAATGTTTTTTAGCTTCTTTCCAATATATTATTAAATATTAATTGATGTTGTTCTTTACACTTAGTATTGGCATCAAAGCATTCAATATGGCAAATCAAGAAGGTTCATTTGTCATGGTTGACAATATCGTCTATCGTGCATCGCTGTGCAAAATTTCAAATATGTTTTTTTCATCCCCATGATTTTATTTTTGCTGTTTTTATTTATAACTAATCAGTACATTAAAAATAGCGTCAGTGTGTAACGTTTCTGTTTAACTAGGCTTACAGTTGTGCAAATGAAAATGGATTTCTTGTCTACTTTACTTCTACAGGTCTCATATTTATAATGTTGAAGAAAATTTATGATAATTATATTGCTTTTGCAGTTGATTTCGGCGATAAATTTAGAGGTCGACCATTTATAACAGTTGTAAAAGGGGATTTGGTTAGAAAAGCTGATGACTTGAAATGCAACGACTTTTCGCCACGATGTCGATGGCGTACAGTGGGCCATGCTAAGGAGGTTAATTTGCTTTCGTAGTTTTACTGTATCTGATTTTATAATTTGCTAACTTCTTCAATGGGTATTACTCTGAAAATAATTTCTTATCCCCTGTTTTTTAAAATAAAAATAAGTACAGTAAAGTAAATAAGACAGTTCTGACAGATGTGGCAAGTTGCTGATGAAGCACCAAGCAGTGAGTTGATCTTTAATGCTACGGGTGCTTTACCAGTTCCGGAAGCACCTTTCTTGTTCATGTACATTGAACAAAATCGTCGGGGTCCTTTCAATGTTTTGCAGTCTGATCCGATTGACTGCCAAGCCGAAAATCCATCTAAATTTTTCTTTAGGTAATATTTTTCCCATTCAAGAACAAGAAATAAAGACAGTAAAAAAGATTGTTTTGCAATTAAGCAATTGAATGCATCAGTTTCTGCCTACTTTGAAAAATTTATTTCGACCTTTTTTGTTACTGTTTATATCTACATCTTTTGCAAATCTAGTTTTATTAATGAATTATAAACATAGGTTTTGGACAACTCGTGATGTTGTTTTGGAAGTTTGTGCCCGAGATCGTTTGCTTAATGCTCTGGAATGTCATGTAGCACCAATGGCTTTGTCACCTCTACTTGTTAGCATAGCATTCAACAAGCTGCCAACATTCACAGTGAATTTTAAAAAAATTCTCGTTTAAAATGCTACGTTGCTTTACCAGTTCCGAAAGCATCTTTCTTGTTTATGCACATTAAACAAAGTCATCAAAGCCGTCGCTAAAAATTATGCATGCATCAGTAATATAGTTCTTTAATTTATTCCAAAATTGAGCAGCAATTAGCAGTCAATATTTTGTACACTCATATTTTCCAGTTTCTCTCTGCATTTATTTGCCAAAATCAAGAAAAATGTTTCCTTCAGTTATCGGTCGAAGTGAAACGTATCAATAGCGATTACGATAACTTTATTGCAATTGATGACATTGATTACGAAGCGACATTCTGTAGTGAAGCAACAAATGCCTGGGATCTTGGAGATAATTTCCATCCAACACCAATGCTAAGTGCGCTAATACAAAGGCCGATATTTTCAGCAAAAGTAGAAATATTATTACAAATATATTCTTTTATTTTGAACATTTTGATTAAATGAAGGACATCCTTGTATTTAAAAAATTTTTTCCTCCGTTTCATACATTTTCACTGCTATGAACAGAATTTCACTTAAAATTAATATACTTTGTAAACTCTGCAAAAAAGAAGATACAAAATTGATCGATCTCGTATTTTCGGATTTGGATTGCTCATTTGATAAGCGTGCTGTGGACTGTATGTGGGCCAATGATGAACAAACAGATGCCGCCTGGCAAATTGGTACTACGCCATTAAATGAACACAAATTTATTTCTCTGACTGGTACATCCGATATGCCTGGTAAATTTCATTTCACTGTTCTAAATTTCATTTCATTTCCCTGCTCTTAATTTTTTTAGTGAAGTCAGACAGTACTTTTAATTTAGATGGTGAATTTTCTTTGGTTCGATTGACATCTGGACAAACATCAACGCTAATAACAGAACCAATTCGTTGTATTATCAGCCAAGCAACACTTACATTTAGGTTTTCATTCTGCTTACACTGTTTTCATTATGTCAGGCTGACTCCTCATCTCTTCATATTGCAAATTATTTTTGTCCCAAAATTGTGGATTCAATTTTTCAGTCAGTTACATGAAGATTTATTTCAATTCATAATTCATTTTTTAATTGTGTTCTGCTGCAAGTTCTTTTGAAACCAGTATCTGCTCAATTTTATCCTCAAAACATTTATCTCTTTAAAACAGAAATAGTAGTCATCAGTTTTTATGAGTTATACAAAATTTTATCAAAACACACATAGAGTGAGAAAAATTTTGAAACTCCTGAACTTTTTGTAGAAAGTAGATCTAAAGTTAGATACATTTTTTCATAAATATTTAATTAAAATACGAGCTAAACTGAGAATCTTAATCTAATGTACAGCTTTGTTGGCTGTTTGAAAGAACATTAACTACTACTGACAGATTTCATTGAAATGTCCTTGAAATCACGGAAAAGAAAGCTTGTTTGACGAAAAAATATTTCAGGTTTTGGCTTAGTGGTAATACCCGTCTCGATGTTTGCTTACTTGAAGATAAAGTGTCGGAAGCAATTGACTGCCAGAAAATCATACTGAAGCAACCGGGGCCTGCATTTGTCGATCTGCCAGAAATAAATCGTCCTATCAGGATTGCTTTGAAAGCGGAAGCACTATCTCAAGGAATGGCTATGATTGATGATCTTATAGTCACAGTGAGCATTAGCTCTGACTTTTGATAATATGCTGAAGAGTAGTTTAATAATTCATAAAGTTCTCTTATTGTAAGACCATGTTGAAATTTTTTCGATTTATATTTGCATGTACTTGGATAATTTCAGAATTCGTCAGGTTTTCCCTAATCAAGAATCTATAGAAATTTCATGACGACAGAACCATAATTAAGATTTCATGATAATTCACTATCATTATGGTGAGCAAGTCAAACAAAAATGAAAAAAACAAAGAAACAAAAAAAAACAGCAAGAGTATTGTCACTGGCTCTTTAAAAATTTCAGGGAGATATTTGTCCATCAGTAACACGGCATCATGGCACCCGTTTATTTGGTTCAGGACTGGCTCAGATACCAGATCCAAATGTTTGTCGACTCCTTTCTTGTAACTTCAAAGAAGGTTAACACTTTTAATTTAAATCATGTCATTTTCAATCTCTCTTGGTTACAAATACAAATCAAGGAACCAGAGTCTTATCGCTTGTGCAGTTTTTCAGGCCAAACATGTTTATATACTTCAAATCGAGTTGCGCTCTCTCAGAGTAGTTTTAAAGCGCGAGATGGTGCTGTCACTGCATTTTTATTCAGAAAAGGCAAAGTTGCAATTCTAGAATCACCAACTTTTCGGTTGAATGTTGCTGCAAGAATTCACTTTTTATACCACAGTGAGGTCAGCTCTTACCAGAAATTTCAAGAAACAATATTTCTTAGGAAATTGAATAACAGTGTATGCTGAAATCAACAGTACTGTAATAAAATCCATTTAATGTAATTTTCAAATCCGCCTTTATAACAGCATGAAGGAGCGAAATTTACGCAAATTCATATCTTAATGATGAAAAAACTAGTTTTGATTTCTTAACACTGTTCAGGCCAATGCATCTTCGGTATTTGTTTGTCATGATAGTATCAGTCGAGAGTTGGAAAACTGCTTCAAGGTTGGTGGAGATAGCACAGAACGAGGTTGGTACCATGATTTTATGGAAGTGCTTCCTAGCGACACCAAGTTTTATTTAATTGCAAAATTAACTGATAATTCAAGAAGTGCAAGAGTTTCTATTACAAATATAACAGTTACTGATTTGGATAATAATACTGCTTGTTCTTTCGAAGTTTAAAAATTTCCTATCATTCAAATTTCACGATAGACTTAATGAAATAAAAGTCTGACATTTCAAAAATTTTGTAAATTACTATTAATTAAGCTGTAAGTTTAGTTTTCTCAATTTATTTCTTTTTGAACTGAAACTCAAATTTCATAAGACATCTCAAAAATCGGAACATAAACTGAGAGTGAAATAGAATAAACTGCAAGTTATGTATTAACAAAACATAAAATTAATATAAAGGGAATGTGGCAGAAATCGTGTTAGGGATAAATTACAAAGCACCAGTACTTGTTTGTTGCTGTGGGTTAAGAAAAATGATTACTTGACTGTTTGTTGATTTCTATTGCGATCATTTTTTCATTTATCATTCTTTTCTGTGTATCTATGTTGACAGCAACTAGATTTCACAAAATTACATATTTAAAGGACAAAAGCGTTCCTCGTACTTCTAGTCGAAGTTTGAAAACGATTTTCAAATTTCACGCTTAGTTCAGCAAAGTTTATTCATTATTCCAATAATAATTTGATCACAGAGGAGCTTTTGTATTTTTTTGTAACGACTGGACTTTTCATGGTTGTTAAATGATCTCGTAAACACATGGTTAGCTTTCTGACTCCAATGCGTTCGTTTAATTTTTTATCTGAATTTGTGTGTTGATTCTTAGAATTTAAAAACCATCCGAATTCCGTCTCATGTGACATATGACTATAATGTTTTAAATGTCGAAATTATGCAGATTGCAGCTTCGTTTGGAATTCTTTTATTCGTACTCGAATGTTAATTGTGGTAGTCAGACTTTGATGCTGTTTTTATTATTTGGAGCAAAGTGAAGTTTTTAAATCTGGAATCTGAAACGTTCCGATTTAATTTAAACTGCAGGAAATGAAATATTAGCTGAGAACTCATTAGCCATCAAAAATTACATGAAGTAAATGCTCATTTGAAGCTATCATGAGTGTGCTAATATTATCAAGGCGGTCATAATAGTCTAAACTGGGCAAAATACACATTTATCGTTCAAAGAACGAAAACAAAAGTAGGAAAAAGTTCGCTATAGATCTCAAAAAGTTTAACTCAAGCTTAACACGAAAATGACTTATCGTTTTACTACCGTTTACTAACCACATCCAATAATTCTGAGTAATACATTTGCATGGGAGTAATATAAAAGTACTAAATTCTTCTTTCCCGCCCGATTCAATTTCTCGATATACGGCTGCATGTTCATATTGCACAAGCAAAAATTTCATGTTTGCAATTTAACTTGAAAGAAGCAGAAGTAATGAAATGCATTACAAAAGCGTTAATTGGAAAATCTCATTATCAGGCAATTTCAAGAAGAATGGGGATCAGGAAGAGAAATGAGGCTGGAACTTCGGCTGAAGAATGGACTCTTCTGAGACCCTAAATATAAATTATTATTTACAACAGCGCGTTCGTTTACACTGTTCACATTATATACAACAGCGACGTAGTTTGTACTGGTTTTTGATTGTTAATTATTAAACCAAATGGAAGCAAATTTCATCGTAGCATACGAGTGCTTACTTAATTACCTTTGTGCTCTGCAATCAAATTAAATTAACGCAGTCATCGAATTCCTACACATTAACCGGATATTTCCATAAACAGTTGCATGAAGAGAACTCCAAAACCATAACAATTCATATTCCATGACAGGCAAAGACTAAATCAAGAAGATGAGAACTGTAGACTCTACAGAATCATCGCCATCTCTCGCATTTTGCTCATGGAAGATGAAATTTTCATAATGACCAGGTGGGATGACTGATCCTCGCATTTACCATTTTTTTAATTAATTGTAACCTATAATCGAGACAGCATTAACTAATTGCTCCATTTGTTTTACTTATCTGTTTTAGAAGTCATTACGCTCTATGCAGCTTATTTACTAAAGCCTACTTTTGGTAGAATTTACTGAAGCCTACTTTTGGTTGGCTTTAGTAAATTCAGCTTCTTAAAAGTTTCATATCATATTATCTCGATCTTCTAAATAAAGACAAGTTGTAATTGTTAACATAACATTTCACTTATTTCGATAACTTTAAATTATTATTAATATATATGATTTTACATTTTTTGAAGTGTCTTGTAATTTACAAAAATAGCATATGCTGTATTTTACATCTGTTTTGACTTTATTTGTTACATTCTATGCCTTATTGAAAATATAGTAATTTCATGGATGCATTTAGAATGGTTGACATGGATGAAGAACGTCTTCAGATCTATATAAGAGATCTTGAGCGTCGCACACAGTCACAAGTTGCAGATCGAACTAAGCTTAAGGATGCTATTCCGCTTTCTGAAACGCAGCTGAGAAAAATGGATAGTACATTAAAAAAGACGACAGCTTTTTTGAAGAAATTAAAGAATTTTGGGACTGCACAATTTGAATCACTTTTACAAGATATTGAAAAAGTGAGTCCTCAATTTTTGACTAAAATAAATGCAACTAATTTTGAATTGTAGTAGTTCCTTGGTGCATTATTAAGATATTTTGGAACTATATGTTGGACCATTACTCAATGAAGTTTCCAGTTAATGTGTGAAACTAAACTCGAGGTTTTAATAATTGCCTATTTGCTTAATATAATTTAGAAAGGCTGATTTAAGGGAATATTTGTCAATGCTTATCCAGTGCACGGTTTTCAAAAAGAACTCTTCTATCAAAAAAGCAGTACTTAATCTTTGCATGCTGAAACCATTATTATAGGTAAATTTATCGAAGTTTTTGGAAGAGATGGCGAAGACAGTAGCTGACATAAAACTAAAATATAGTGATGTGCAAGCAATTGTTAATATTTGTGTACATTTGTCTTGTTATTATGAAGAATTTTCTCGAAACCTACTTCTTGAGTTCCGCAAGTTGTTGCCTGTGAAACGAAATGATAAGATTCAAAATCCGTCAAAATTGCGCGTTGACATCAGGTTATATACTTCTCTTTGTAAAAAAAATCTCATGTCCTTGCTTAACTTATTTCAGTATTCTTTTATTCTTCGTTATGTTCAATAGAGATTCTATATTTCGTGATTAATTTTGTTCTAGCCTAATGTAGTAGAAATTACAACTTTTTCAGTCAAAGTACTTCAAACAGTGATTATGCAGTTTTGTGGCACTAGTCTTATTCTATGCATTCCTTTTCATGTGTGGAAAGAATCGATTTCAGACTGTTAGGGGAATTATGTCTTCATGGTGTTTTTCAAAAAGATGGTCTTCAGCTTCTTGGCTCTGCGCTTGCTTTTCTTACTCTTACAGATAAAACTGATCATCTTAATATTCCAATCTTGCTGCCATTTTGTAAAACTATGAATGCAGACTTGCTGGGTTTGCATCCTTATTCAGTGAAACAAGTAAATATTCTTATGTTTTTTCATTTTTTTAAAGAGTGTTTGCAATATATTTCTTCATAAAATTATGTTACTCACCACGTATGAATTTTGATTCTCAGCACCCAGCATCTGTTATGTTAATCAGTTTTGCATTTGATAGTAATGAAAAATTTGCCCAAAGATAGTGGTACCAACTAAACAGATTTAATGCATTTTTACTCATTTCTTCGTGTCAGTCATATTAATGAACACATTTTTTCAGTTTGCATTAGCAGCGAATGTTGAGTTGCCAGAAACAACTGTTTTACCTGGCGAGCATCAGAAACCACTCGCTCAGCTTCTTTTGGATTATCATGTAACTCTAATTGATCACATAAAAAAGGCAAGGAGATCTGTCAAATGATCGAAACATTTTTTCAATTTTGTATTATCTATCCTTTTTTATGCTTCGTTTTCTTACTTGGCTTTATAAAATGTCGATTTATTTCGCTGCAGTTAACAGTAAAGCCTAATCATTTAAAACTATTTCATCTTTTTAGTTGTATGAAAACTTGCTTTAATTTCAGCTCTTACATAGTGAATAACACATTTTTCTTATAATTAAACTTTGATTTGTATCATGAGTTACTGTAGTAAAAGTCTGATGACTCCACATTATTTCCAAGGATGATATTTGATTTTCAGAAAATTGAATGACACTTTGTTGTAGGATCTGCATGAAATGAATCATTTACTTCTCTCAGTAAAACGTCAAATACGAAACCGTGGTGACGCTAGTTCTGAGGACAAAAATCAACTTGAAGAAGTACGTGTACGTTATGAAAAAATCTTAACATGTGGGATTCAACTCAGTGAATTTTTGGGCCTTGAGATGGAAGAAATGAAGGAAGAACAGGTATTTTTTAGCTTGTGTGTCGTAGTTTGAATGAAGCTGTAAAATAGTTTTTGAATGCGATAATTTGTTTTAAGTGATGTGAGTGGCTTGGTCTTAGTCTAAAATCAGTTATTTCTAGTTGTTTGTTTTGTGGAACTTACAGAAATATTTTTCTGCAGTATATTTGCCTCATAATAAAATTTCATATAAAGAGCGAGGATGAAGAAGAGGAAATTTCGGCGTTAGCTTTGAGTCGTGCTCTGCAAGAGGGGACTATTACTATTTGGCCCGATGAAGACACTCGCCAGTTTTATGAAACAAGAATGGAACTACGTGAACTTGTTCCTGCAATCCTTTTCCAAGTAACAAGTTCTGAAAAATTAATTTGACTTGCTTTCTGTGCAATTTTTTTCCGCTGCATCAAGTTCTTATTTTCCATCTGACCTAGACGGATATCCATGGAAATCACTCACTGCGCTTTCTGCTGGTGCTAGGTGTATCAGTTTCACTAGTTCTTTTTTCAGCTTCTCAAAATAATTGTGCTTTTAGATTATTTTCACGCCCTAAATTCATTGATTGCTAAAAACACTGGTCCAGTAAATTATTGTTGATAATGAGTTGTCACTTTTAAAATTATGGTAATATTTTAGGAATCAGAGAAAAGAACTTTAGATCTAGTCGAACGAGAAATTGAAGATGTTGATTTGAGTGGCTTGGAATCAATTAGTGAAGAACCTGAAGAAGAAGTTGATGGTCATGTTGAAGGTTTTTTCATCTTACTTTGTTTATATCAACCTAAAAGTGTAATGTTTGGTAATTAGGTACTTATTTATAGTTGTGTTAGTTTTTATTGCTTATTTTTATTGATTGCTGATAGAAAATGTAACTGATGATTGAATTCACAGTTTAAGACATCAACTAGTCGTGATTTAGTGCTCTTAAAAATAATTTAAGTTTTTTGTTTTAGCTGTCGTTTCATATTAGCATAATAGTTATTCATTCCTCATCAGCGGTGGAAAACATTAATGTTTAAAATTGCATTCCCAGTATATTTTCATTCATTATCATGTTATTTCTTTTTGTTTTTTAACGAGTATCATAAGTGCCGAAAATTATCACTTAAAAATAAATAACTTGATAGCAATGATGTAAAAATGTAATGCTTGAAGTTGTTCACATCATGAGAGAGTTTTATGTTGTGCATAGTTGTTTTAAGGTGTAGAAGAAGAAGAAGAAGTGAATACAGGTTCAGCTGAGACATATGCATCAGTTGCAGTGAAACAGGCTGAAGGGCAAAAAATGACTGGACTAGATTTGAAAGTTATGATAAATGCGTTTATGGAAGAACTTCCTTGGCTGATCAATAGAGACCTGATCGACCAAGCTGCTCTTAATTTTGTTACAAATTTAAATACTAAGAATAATAGGAGAAAACTGTGTCAGAGTAAGCGTTCTATGACTACTTGCTACCAGTGTGTAATTGTAATATCAAGCTAGTAATATGATTACTTCTTAGCTTGTTTTCTCAATGTGTTTTAATGTATTTTGAGTTGAATTCTTCATAAGAATACGAACTCATAATATTGCTTTGTCCTTTCTAATATAACTAGTTGGCTTCTTAATCAAAAAGAAAAAAATTGTTAAGTGATGCTCGAGCAACATCAAAATCGACTAGACTTACTGCCGTTTTATGGGCGTCTAGTGGCAACTCTAGAACCAGTTATGCCTGACTTGGCCTTAGAACTGTCACATTCATTGCTTCGACAGTTTCGTGCATCTGTGAAAAACAGGACAGAATACTCTCTTTCCAGGAAATTGAGATGCTGTCGTTTCATCTCGGAATTGGTTTTTATTTAACGAATCTTTTGTTCTGTAACTGATACTTTTCAAATTTTATATTTAATATATTGGAAAAAATTTTTTGCTATAAACAACTACTATGAATTACTATGTTATTTCCAATAATGATTTATCTGTATGAAATGATGTCTCGGTTTTTTTTTTCTTTCTTCATTTAGGTAAAATTTGGCACAATACCAAAAGCTGAAGGCCTGACTTGTTTACGTATGGTACTTTTCGATTTTCGAGGCCACAACATTGATATGTGCTGTACAATGGTTGATGCAATGGGTCAATTTTTATATCGTTCAACAGATAGCCATGGCAAAATGAAAACATTGCTTGAAGTTATGATGAAAAAGCGTGAGCGTATTAATGATACTCACAAGCAGGTGAAAGAAAATTGTTATATATTTGTTGTTTCGTAGTCTTGAAATTATTTATCTTCACAGCTTATGAAAAAACAGTATATTAGGTTTCTGATACTTTGATTTCAGTTACTTCTGATTTCATGAGTTATTGCTTAAAACGTCTGATTAGAACATCCCTAAAATTTCTCAAGCTTCGATAATTACTCTAAGAGTAAATGTCACCTCAAAGTCTATTGTTCTATAGCACAGTCTCTTTGTAGATGATAATAGATAATGCCTTTTTTACGTGCATTCCACCTCCATTAGAAGAGAAACCAAAAGCAGAAAGCGATCCAGTGCATGATTTTATCTGTTATCTGTTAAGCAGTTTGTCACGTTGTCGAATGGAAATTACTTTGCGATGCTTTAGAAAATTAGATTGGGCCGATCCTGAGCTTGCGAGTTAGTGCTCACTTTTTTATAAATTTATTGTATTATTTGTGTGAAATGAAAAAAATGCATTAAAAGCTGTATGTAATATAAACCGTAGTTCTGATCTCAGTGAAGTATTGGTTGCATAAAATTTTTTAATGTCAATAAACCTTATTGAGAAGAGTAAATTCTATTACTGCCATCTAGATTTCGCAGTTGGATGTCTCAGTAATCCATCTCTACCACGATACAGCAGTATACCTCATCTTGCTTCACTGATAGCGGCACTTTCTTCCTATCATGACTGGATTGGTCAAATTTTATTTTATTTTTTTGATTACGAATTTTTAAGTTTTGATAACATATTTTCAGTCAAGTTTTGAAGTGCAGCATATCATTAATCATTTCATGTATGTAGTTTGCTTATTTATTTCCCATCTTTTCTTTATAAATTCCATTAAAATTTCAGGTTTTGTTATTATGTTTTTTAGGTATTCGTGTGCTTGATGCAACGCTTGAAGATATTCGAATAGCTTTGGAAATGAATAGTTTTTCATTTAATCAGAGCTTAGTACTGTCAGTAATGCTTTTGGGCCAGTTATACAATTACAGTGTCTGCGACTCTCCCATCATATTCAAAGTATTTTCAAAAATGTTATATTCTTGGTTACAAGCTTTTATTACCACTGTTCGGTTCTTTCCTTTTATATATTAAAACCAAAAGTGTCAAATTCTTTCCTTTTATATCTTAAAACCAAAAGTATTAAATTTTTCTCGTGCTAAAGTGACGGAAGTAAAATGCTGAAAAGTATATTCTAGACTCTCTATCAGTTGATTACCTTTGGTGCTTTTGATCCACTGTTGGATAACTGGAATAATCTTGCTCGAATTAATCTCGTTTGTGATTTACTGTTGGTGTGTGGCGAATACTTCAACAGTGGTTCTGCTAAAAGTAGATTGGACTGCTTCTTAGCATATTTTTACCGTTATTTTGTTGTCAAAGAAGAAGCATTTAAAGTTCGAAATATTGCTTTTCCAAAAAATGTGAGGCTTTATGTGAATTCAGATATTTTCTTTCTTTGAAAGTAGACTTATCTGTATATTTCATTAGGAGTAAGGTAGGTTGAATCGTTTAACATTCAAGGTACGATTTCGTGTGGAAGAAATGAATGATTATGTAAGGAAGGATACAAAAATACCGGATTCTTTTGATGAAGCGCAAAAAGCAATCGATATAATTCAGCAGCGATACAAAAATGCGGTATCACTTTCAATTTCCCAAAATTCTTCCATACTTTTGATTTTCCGGTTTATTTTTTTCATCATAGTGCGTGAACGATCACTATTATATAACTTTTGGAACAGGATCTCTGAAACGAAACCTTACATTTATTGCTAGTGTTTTCACGATACTATCTAATTTGATGCTATTAAAGCAAGGAGCTAATGCCAAATACGTGATTTTGCGGTTGTAGTTCCAACTATCCTGTGTAGTGACGTGATCTGTTATCAGCTTTTTAGGGTTTTTTTTGGATATAATTATTCTTTGATTGTTTTATTTATTTTTTTGCTGTGGTATATTTATTTCATCTTTTAAAATTTCTTCTTGTGGAACAAAAAACATAGTTTGATTTCTTATTGCTTAAGGTTTCACTTTCAAGCAAAATTCTCATAAGATTTCAAGATTGATTGGCTTAAATATAATGTAGTCATTCGGAAAAAAGAGGTGGTTCTAATTGTTAAATTTCAATTTCAATAGGTCAATCCAAGATTTAGAAAATTCGTAGTAATGTTCTACTCATTATTAGATGGAGTCGTCTACACGAGGAGAATCGTTGCAAACTGTAGAGGATATGGAGGAAGAAGAAGAAGAACCTCGAAAAAGACAACTAATTACTGATGCTAAAGACGAAGAGATTGGTAGCAGGTTTGTATTTTTTCCAATTATTGTGTGGATTCTAGATAATAGAAATAATTGGTCTTGCAAGGTACAGATTATACTGTGGAAAACATTTTTCATTGTTGTGAACATCCCGTTTTTCTAACATGAAAGTGTCTTCATAATTTTTTAAGTATGTCTTATTTATGCGTAGTCATTTTAGGTGTTTTAACTCATTTTTTTACAGCATAATACCACTAAATATTATTCATGAAAAGTTTTACTTTTAAGAGGACTTTTATTCATGACATCATTTTACCTTCAGTTTTCACATATTAGTATTAGTATTATCTGTGCAGGTAATAATAAAATACTGACTCATAATCAGAAAAATTGTAACTCGAAACCTATCTCAATTTTTCTAACTTTGTTGCTAATATATATTGTTTACAAGTTCAAATTTCTCATAAATATATTAATGAATTCATTTTCTTACAAACTCTGAATCATGAAGTACAGTGTATGATTCATTATTCTGAAAAGTTGTGACATATCGAGTACCGAAATTGCTTACTTGGTAATTTTCATTCTTTTAAATTTAAGGAAAAGGTCATAGGAGATTGTGACAAGTCTATAAATTTTAAATCGCACAAAGTTATTCATTGAAAAGAGTTTTATGTCAATAGATCACCTCTACATACTTAAGCTATAGTTTATTGGGTTTTGTTTTTTTCCGTTATTTGTAGTCTGCGTAGGATCATGTGTTTTAATACTTTTATGTTTTAAAAAATACTCCGCAAATGATAAAAGAGATTACAGTAATCAAAAATTAAAGGAAGAAAATTACATAAGACTCGTTGAGGAATGATTAAAAAATTGGTAAACTGATTTTTTTAATTAGCTCTGTAAGTTTATACTTCTATGCGTGCTTCGGAGTAACAGCGGAATTGGTTTAAAAATATTTATGTAGATAGTAAATTAGCCCTGGGGATTGCATGGACATCTAAAAAATATTACCTGCAATGCAGTCAGCATATAACGCAGGTAAAAGTAAGATTTAGTTCAAAGTCTTTTGAATATTTTTCTGCTTAAATGAAGTCATGAAATCAACATTTTTATCATGCCTGGCAGGACCAAACTTCAGGAAGTCATTGCTTATAAATCAGCTTTTAAAGTTAATATTATTTTCAGTGTGTCACAAAAATGAAATTAACAATCCATTTATTTCTTTAATGCAATGTTATTTATGGGGTGAGTATGAGATGAAAGCTTCATTGAAAAAATCGAAGTTAATTTATATCTTTAAAGAGAATTCTTTATGCAAGGATGAAGAATTTAGTATCACAGAATTACAGTGAAAATATCAATGCATTAGTCTATGACGATAACGAACAGGTGAATGTGCATACCAGTCATATTTCTCAACCCGAAGATGAACTATTTGTTCGTCAACTTGAGCAAATTGTGACCGAGACAATGCAGGCATGTTGAATCTTATTTTCATTAGTTCTGAAAAAGATTAAGCAAAATGGGATTATTGATAAAAAAGGACTGGTCCTTCAACTAACATTAGTTTGGTCGGTAGAAACTTTGACGGAATTTTAAACTTGAGGTCAAAAGTTGTAAAATTATGCGGTGGTACAAATTTAACGACACATGGAATTCTTTATTTACTTTGACTAATCGCTAATGACCATGTTTTAAATAAGACTGTTGATGGCCAAAAATACAGCATCTCTTTTTATCAGTCCATTTGAAACTTACAAAAGATTTCATTGCCGTACAGAAAAATTACTTTTTGGATCAAAAGATAATGCAGTCTTATCACAGTTAAACAATTTTCGAGATATTTTACGCTTTTAATCAGGAATAGAAAATGTTAATCAAAAATTCTTTGTCACCGTTCAGAAAGTTTCAGCTGTTTTTTTAAATTCCATTATTTCAATGAGAAATGTGTAACGGGTACTCAAAATCATTTATTTTCAACATTTCCTTCTTACAGTTGAGCACGAAAAATAATTTTATAGAGCCGAATAAATATAGTAAGTGCACCAATCACAGAAATATCAGTTCCAGTATTGGCGCGTCAGAAATTTAATAGAACGATCAAATTTGGTATTTGTTAATTCATTCAATATTTTTATCTTAAAAATAAGTTAACCTTGGCATCAACGAATATTTGAATAATTTGCTGATATTTAAGATAACATATGGGCATTGATACTCTCAATTATTTCTTGAAGTTGTTTCATTTTGTTGCGCCCAGATTTTGATCCTTGAAGTATTTGAAAAATATTGCAGAAACTTCTGCTGGCGACAGCAAATTAGAAAATATATCTAATTCAAAAACGGAAACAAAGATGGCAATCTTAACTCGTGGAAAAGGAAATAAAACGGTCGTTGGAATTTTTTATTTTAGATTTTAGAAATCGTTCTATTCATTCACTTTCTTGAATGCTATGGGTGATCTTTGTTCAAAATTCATATTTCACTTTAATGGCATAGTTTTAGGTTGTTATAAATTCAGGTATTAAAAGCGATTGCCATGGATATACCAGATTCTTTGACAAAAATATGGAATGCACAACGGGAAAAAGAGCGGCAGGAATTAACCGTTCACAAACACATAACACTGAGTATGAACGAGCGTATGATGATGGACGCTGATAGTGATTCTCTATCGGATTAATGTGCATTCCGTTCTTGCTGCGAATGTCGGAGGATTTTTCTGGATGTCATTCTCAATAGAATGATTAACGAATCCTGATCTAGAGTATACAGTCGCTCAACATCTGGATCAGCTGTAATCAGATTATATGGAAAGCCAAGAAAGTACTGGTTATCGAGACCCATGAAAGTGTTGCTATATCGTGTTCGAATTGGCCATCAATGATGCATTACATTTATACAAATTACATTTTGTTTATATAATGGGAATTTTATGAATAAAATATTTTCATTTTACTGCAGCTTCTTCCTGCTTTCCTTAACTTCCTTTCTCAAATTTATTACTAATTATGCTTTATTAAGTGTGCCAAAAATTCAGTAAGTAAATAAATACATAGTATGTTCAAAGGATCTTACGCTTACCGTCTGAAAAGTAATAGCAAAATTCTTAGAATATTGTAGTGAATATCTCAAGTGAAACTGTGGCAAAAATATGAGACAAGAAATGAGCAGGCTAAAATAGTGAAGTAAGGCATTTTATCAGTTTGCAATAAATAAGACTGTTTGGCCGCATTACATCTGTCGTTCGTGCAAACACACACACGTTGCAATACAGGTCGTTCTTGTACTACCCCTGGTTGAACATTTCGCGTCAAAGTTCGGACATTCTCACATGCAATATGTTGAAAGTGTTCATGTCGGTCGCATCCTGCGCCAATCCAGTAATGGCCGCTACCAACGTGCATCGTGATAGTAACACAAACATCTTGATCACGGTCACAGTGAATAGGTTCCATGGCGCAGGATGGACGAGACAATTGAGCGGTAACTCGAAATTTATCGAGTTGGACAGCATCCTGCTGATTCCCTCCTTTTGTGGTGCATGTCATACAAGTAAGTGCAAAGCAGCTGCCTACAATCTGCAGCAATATTAAAAGTGTTCTAGTCACACTAACAGTGGAAAAGTCGCTGTTAAAAGTTTGAAGTAGCATGTGGCTGATTCTGATGCAAGTATTGGAGAGATGTCTCAGGAGCGCCGCGACACATCATATTGCGGAAGGCAGTTGGAACTGCCATTGATTGCACATGCCCTGATCAAATTTTAATTTATAATGGGGTGGGATGAACGCTTCACATACAATCAGCTATTTCACACCCTCAAACGAATATTCCCAAAAGGGTGGAGTTTTTCATTTTTATTTCAGAAATATCTAGAATTTACGACTTTTGTTTTATCCTTCCAATTCTCTTATGTGCGGGAACAGATGTCTCACTAAATTTACGTGATGATCTATTCGCAGGCATAAGTTGGAACAGAATTTGAATACTATGTAATCATATTTCGTTTAAAGTGCAAAAAAAAAAAATTGCCGTGCAAAAGCATTGAAACCATGAAGTTATTGTTATCAAAAATACTTTTTTGAAGTGATGACAGTTAAGAAGAATTGCAAGTAGAAAGAAGAAGAATGTTCTCATTTGTTAGATGATAGATATCAAGCATGGTATTACGAGAGATGATTTCCATGCAGAAAAAATGGATGCATCATGATACACCATGATACGGGAATAAATGAAGACAACATTTGTTATTTATTGTTGTTATGCATTGATAAATAAGTTTCAGCCAAACTCCCTCTTAAATAGTCATTAGAGTGAACTCATTTTTGGTTAAGCAGTTTTCGTGCTTCTCGGAAATTCCTCTTTCCTACACTGCTGTTAACACTTGCCTAAACTGCTTCTAGTAAAAGGCCATTGCTGAATATGGAAGTTTCTTTCGACTTAGCTAGCATATTTCCGACAAAAATTGTCAGACTTGATTCCATGGCAATCAGGCAGCTACAGTATGTTTTTATTTAATGAATTAATAATTTTATGCTCTATACATTCTATTAAATATGAGTCTATGGAAATTCCACATTATTAAATCAATGCTATAGATAATTCAAAATCTTGTAGCTTGCATCAGTTGTGTCGACTTTATAGAAGTGGAGTATTTCTACCTTTTCTTTCTGAACTGCTTATTGCTTGAAACTAGCCTTAGAAAAGAAGTAAATTACATGGAAGAGGAAGCCTACCTATTGATGCTTCCTCATCACAGTCATTTGAATATTGGAAGTCTAAAAAAGATTATTATAAATATTTTCGAATAAATCTATTACAATGACAATGCCCGTAACAATTTATGTAGAATTGCTGCTTTTTCAAATCGTTTCTTTCACTGATTTCGTCTTTTAAAAAACTTCAAAATGACTGCAAAACACTGAAAAGGAAGGGCATTGAATGAAAAAGAAAGTAAGGTTTATAAGAATCGTGGAAAGTTGAATAGAAAAGTAGAACTCAGATGACTTGAATGACAGAAAGATTAAGGGAATAAGGCAGAAGAAAGGAACAAGAAAGTCTTCTGCGGAGGTGAAAATTTGATTCAACGACTGCTGCTATGCAGCAAAATTAGTTCTCTAAAACTTTGCTCTTCCAAAAAAGGAGATTACACTTCTCGATCAAGCAAATTCTATTCATTTAAGGCAAACATTTTCTAGATAGAAAAAGTCTTGGAAAGAAAAACTTGAAAATTCTGTCTGGCTAGAACAAAATAGATAAAGTTGCCATCTCTTTGACTGTTACTATCTCTGTAACTCCCATGAGAAGTAATAAGATTAAGGCAATAAATTTTATGTCTTGTTGCTATGCTTAATGTTTGCTGTAAGATCCCAACCAGTAATTGTTGATCATGAAGTGAAACATGCTTTACTCCAGGCACAAGTGAAAATAAAATTTATCAGCATTAATAACAATTACTTAAAAGAGCATAATCACTACTAAACATATAGCGGAAAGTACGTAAAGTGCTGAAGTTTAGCTAATTAATGTTGGCGTAATTATGAAAAAACAAACTATTATCTAAACCGATGATAATCTGACATCTAGAATGAAATTCTAAAGCAATTGTCTCATCCGAAATAATTTAGAAATGCATCTTAAATGTACAAAAAATGTTCATGATGATAAGATTTAAAACAGCAAATGAAAAACTATGCTAAATGAATTTGAGAGCAAAAGCTACCTCTCTTAGAAGCTTTAATAATAGCTTTCATTATTGATATTTCGGAAAAGGCTTCCTGTCATCTTTTAGATCTCCCTGCGGTCATCACAATATAATAGCATAATTTAACTGAGTTTAAGATCACATAATCAGAGAAAAAAATTAACAATGCCTTTATAGATGAATAATTTGTAACAGTACGAAATGTTTTTTTCAGAAATGAGGATGTTTACAGTGCAATTGATTCACTGTCGAAACAATCAACCCGTGCAATGCAGTTACCACAAACACTGACATCATGCCAAAAACTTGCCAATTCTGATAATGTGCTCTATCTTGAATGGGACCTTGACAGGTTTAGATTTTCGTCTTTTACCCATTGTGAATATATATATATCATATTACCTACGCTTGAGCTTACTGTGGATCTTGAAAACATTCTTTCTTCTAGTTTCTATTTCTATTTTTGTTCTACCTTTATCTCCTATGGAAACACTACTATGATGCTATGCAATTAGACGACAGCACCAATGCAGTCATTTGCAACAACAGCAATGCTATTAGCAGCCAAAAAATTCTGAGCGATGCAAATGGTAGTAATATCACGCAAAAATGCAGCAATCAATCAGATATCTGAGACTGCGTTTCTAAACAACTTTCTTATTCACGCACGAGAGTTGAAAAGTGACGGACCATGGTGATAGTATTCATATAAACCCTTATTGTAGTACTTTTGAAGAAATGGAAACGAAACAAGGGAAAAAAAGTTGAAGAGATACGCAAGTAATGAGCAAAGAGGTGAAAAAGATACTGCTAAAAAAGTTGGACACGGCAAAGTTGTAAGCTGTGTTGGCTTTTGATCAGGATTTTAGAAATCTGATAAGGAACTGGACGATGAATGGAGAAAAATTGCATCTGGAATCTTAATAGAAGGCAGTAGAAAAAAAGATTAGTTCGTAAAAAGCTCCGTGAAGGTGTGAGAGAGCATACCAGAGTACCAACAGGATGATTAAGCTCGAAGTACTTGTCCATAGAATCGAAGTTTCACAGATCAGATGGCCAGGAGATATGCTGAAAGCGGTTCTTGACCGTTTTGGTAATGCTGAGAGTGAGATGGCCCTTGTATCGTTATTTGTATGGCGAAAAGTTCGTGTGTGTGATTACCGTCCAGAACTGGAGAAGTAATCAAATTCTACAACCACTAGTAATTGTAGATCGTCCATGCTCGCAGAAGCGGTTTATAAAGTCAGCGATGCATATCAGAACACATGATTCCTATTTTGAGGAAAATACGCTTTACGAGTCTGAGGTTGATCCGGACATAAAACAGACATACCTGGCACTGATACTGGAGGACCAAGGACTAAGATAAACTAGATGACGAAGTGAAGTAGAAAAAAATAATCTGTGAGAACATTAACCTGCGAGTTCCCCAAAAGTCAATGACTAATACTACAAGGCAGCTTCAGGTGTCACAACAATGCTGTGAAGAAATGACAAGGCGAGAGAAGAAATTGGAATGGAAGGCAAAAAAGAAAATAAGCTTGAATGACTTCCACCAAACTTAAGAGAACGGTGTTTGGCCGGTGAAACACTTGAAGATAAAAACCAAAAACCTAAAGAAAAGCCAAGAAGCGCATAAGGGGAAAATCTTTCACACTTAATCTTAAACATGATTATCACGAAGCTTCAAGCATATCTGACGAAGCGAGTGAGAGTTTAGTAAAGTAAAATTAAAAATTATGGATCTAGATGAATGTTTAGATGTCGATGATCTTACTTTGCGCAACATTCATTAAGATGGATACAAAGTTTTCATATTTGTCAACATCTTCTAGCTGATATTGAAAAGAGGGGCACACGAAGTCGATCAAAACTGTATCTATTTCAGTCGATAGTTAAAAATGCTGCACTAATTTACAATGTGAATAGTTGAAACAAATTTTTCGCACTACTTGTAAAACTAAAAAACAATGACACATACCGTCTAATCGTTTCTCATTCATATTAATATATATCGTATAAAATAACCAATAAAACAAACATTGCTATATAGAAAAAACCCGAAATAATAATTAATAGTGAACTTGCTTGCTCATATCGTTCCTTAAAGCGATTTTAAATAAGTTATTTTCGCAAGTTGCAGTGAATCAGGAATCAATTACCTGATAGGTTTACTGAAGATTGGCTGTAAGAAGCTCTTTTTGTATGACAACCAGATGAAAGCATATTACGGTGAATTTGTGTCGGTTTTGGATTTCTATGTACACCAATCTCGCCAAAAGCAAGGACATGGACATAAGATATTCGATTACATGCTTAATTACGAAAAAGTGATGCCATATGAAGTTGCTCTCGATAATCCCACCGGTATCTTCTTACTTCACAAACAATGCTTTTAGGCACTTCCATAAACAGCTTACAATGTAAACGATAAAAAATCTAATGCTATGGCCATATTTCACTCCTGTAGAGGTCATACAAATGCACACATAAATCTCCCAATGAAATTAGTTGCATGAATAAACAAATCCCTTCGTACCAATGATAAGATGGAACTGAGGTGCTAAAATTTATCACTTCATCCCAATTGCATGCAATGTCATATGTTTATGAAGTTTGGAAATGAGTCCCACACGCATAGTAGATAAGCTTGACAATCTTCCACCACCCATAAGAAAACTTCTTACTTTGCAGACTTTTGAAAAATCTATATTTCTGCATGTTTATTCAAGAAATCTGTCCCTTGCACTAAAATATGACTTTCTAAAAAATAAAGCCCTTTCGATATTCCAGTAACACTTCTGTCCTTCATGGCAAAACATTACAATTTGACGGTTGCAGTATGGCAAAATACAAACTTCGTTGTGTTCGAAGAGCTTTTCAGTGTCATCCCGAAAGGTTATCTAATTTCTATTCGCAGCCAATAATTTGTTTTCTCTTTAATGCATCTTTAAAATGCAGTTAGTATATTACTGATAGAGAAAAAAAAACAAATGCATACATAATGAAAGGGAAAAATCCAGAAACAGACGAAGCACCAGAAGAATGGCGACGGCCTTGTGCACGACATATCGGAAAAGAACAAACTACAAACCAAGCAAAAGAGCAACATGGTGACGGATACTTTTTTAGATTAATCTAAGCATTTAACACAAATACTGGAGTAGTCCAGTACAGAATGCAATCGTAGCACAGTTTCAAATAAAGTGACTTTCTAGGTCACAGCGAATTTTGTGATACAGGTAGTCACTTTAATTGAAGTTGTCTCGAAAAACTGTATATAAAAGAAATCAGAACTTGTCCGTGCCAAATTTATTTCACTATTGTTGAAATTGAGCTATATTATACAACGAATATTCTTAACAAATCACGTTCTAGACCATAAGAATAGCGAATAAAATCGGAAGCAATTGTATAAGATAGAATTATAAGCGGACTGAAGCTTTGCATGCAACTAACGTACCTGATTATGAGCACCACTTAACAAAAATGATGTAACCAAGACAATAGATTTCGCTGTGATATAACTGGAGATATATTTTCAGAAACAAAACCGACTGTACGACCACAAATAGAGGACAGAATTTGGTCCCCTGCAGAAAATGAATTAAGCGCCGCAAATCGTTCTTACCAGGCTCGCCAACGTAAGGCACATTTACTCAGCAGTAAACCATTCTGGTAGAAAGAATTCATTAGCTTCACCATACAAAAAACCTGGGAAATACTTATCGCAATTTGAAATGGCCTCCAACAACTGACCGCTTATATTTTCTATCCAGCTTTATGCTTCCGCAACGCATTCTCGTAATAACTTTAAGAACTTCCTCAGCTTTTAAACGCCACATATGAATTTTGCATAATATTAAAGAAGCGCTTCAGTTATGATTGTTGTCCACATATGTATAAATTAGATTACAGCCTAAAACGAAAAAATAAACAGCGCCCAACACATGCCAAAGAAATGGCAAGAACCTAATGACAAATTTATTTGAAAAATGACAATCAAAATTACGAAATACCAAATTCTCAATATCTTTCAAAGTTTTTCACTTTAATTCCGAATGATTAATTCTAATGAGTGCGAATACCACAACAGATATAAACTAATGATAAAAAAGTTTTACACCCATAAATTCGATCTAAATATCACAGATTAGAGGTCAAAATATTGTTGGAAACCTTCCTGATAAGGCGCAGTTCGTGAAAGATGGCAATTATTACTAGAGAAAGTTAAGAATAAGACAATTCTCAACTTAAAATGAATATAAAATATATTAGTCAAAAGTCCATTTATTTTTCACAAAGATGAACTGAAATTTGACAGATATATAACAAGACATATACAATGAAAAAAGTGTTTCTGCACAAATTTGACTCTTTTTTTTTTTGAAGATTAAGACGGAAAACATCACTAGTTCTTCCATCAGTCTTGCACACAATTAAAAGATAAAGTAATCACTAGAACAAACAAATCATTACGCATTTTAAACAGTGATAGAAGCACTGTAGACAAAAGGCAGAAAATTCAACTTTTTGAAAGTTGGTTTGAAAGCCAATCCAATCCTTCATAGAGACCATGTCCTTGAGTTGCACAGGTGGCTTGAATATACCACTACAATGTGATTAACCGGTGCAAATTTATTCTTGATAAACGAAGACTTTCGTCTACTTAGCCTACTCAAACTATCAACAAAAATTTCTAAATAGTTCACTTTATTTTTGTAGAAAATTAGAAGCAATGATTCACTTAAATTATAAATTTGATAATCAAATTATAAAAAAATTTCCGAATACAATTTATCTTACAAATTCTACATTTTATATTTTTATTTCTTAATTTTTTGAATAAATAACATATTGCTCAGAATCAAGTTCTCAAATTAATAGGAAGAAACCTGTCGTGAACGCAGATTATGGAGGCCAAGCTTATCAGTTAGCTCAGCTGCACTCATTGCATTCGGTAAATCTTGTTTATTAGCGAAAACAAGCAAAGTAGCATCTTTCAGTTCATCCTTAAAAATAAATGGTAATAACCTGAAACTTATAGGTAAATGACAACTAAAATTCGTTGCAAAAAATATCAAGAACAGTCAATTTATTCTAAATTTTATAGTCTAGCAAATAAAGCTAGGAAACATAAGACATTCATGCATATAGTAACTTTTCATATGAAACAGAGACATGAGCTGAAAGCTAAAAATATCTCTGAATTTTATACCAATAAAAATGCACATAATTGTTTTTTAATCTAAAAAAATTAATTGTATGAAACCTCAGAAAGCATTTTATGTAGTTCAGCACGGCTTTCCTCAATACGTTCTCTATCGTTGCTATCAACAACGAAAATCAAACCCTACAATAATAATAAGTTCATCTAACGACAGATTTGCCACTGTTCTTACATTATTAGAAACTATAAGAAAGATTTACAGGATCTATTCATCAAATTTATGGAGTAAAAAGGATTTTCTAAACATGAAAAATAATCGCTAGGATAAATTTATTTTAAATTATCTAGTGCTGATCTGTGCACACCATTAAACTCAAAGATAATAAGTACTAATGTAAAAATAACAAAGAAAAACAAGGTGCATTGTATTCATATATGAAGAATGACAACGCAATACCTAATACAGCGAAAGAGATGAGACAAGAGAATTACTAAGAACTGAAATGTGCAAAGTTTACTATGCCTTCCAATTTTTCACTATTCATAGTTATTCAAGATGTTTTGAAAGAACAAAGATTTTTCTTACTTCAGTAGAAACCATTATTTTATATAAGATGTTCTGAACTGAAATTTAAAAACATCTAAAAATCTGAATCAGCGGCAACATGTTAAAGATTGCTTTCTAAATCATAAATGCGAATAAGTGTAACTCACTTCCACTCACAGAGAAATGAGAAAAATTGGTTGAGTGAGATGAATTTAAAAGAGCCGGATAATTTTACCTGTGTATCTTGAAAATAGTATCTCCATAGTGGCCGAATTTGATCCTGTCCACCAACATCCCAAACAGTGAAGGTGATATTTTTGTATTCCACTTTTTCAACATTGAAACCTACATATATGAGATCAAGACCAATTAAAAGTATCCTTTTATGCTTTGTTCCTAAATCGCTGCGTAAAGGACTAGTAAAATTGCCTGGTTTAGAAATATTACATCCCTAAAATCTATTAAATGATTAAAACAAACCAATAGTTGGTATGGTCGTGACAATTTCACCCAATTTTAGTTTGTACAAAATCGTCGTTTTTCCAGCGGCATCCAGGCCAACCATTAAAATTCGCACTTGTTTTTTACCTAGAAGTCGTCCAAAAAGACCAGATATCGTAAGCCCCATTACGAAAAATTATAGTGCGTTTATTACCTTTATTCTATAATACATTTTATAACCTTCTAATCATCAAAAACAACAGAAACATGAACGTACGATTTAATGTATGGAACATTCAAATTTATACTCAACGAACCAAAAGAATAACGTAAAAATCTTTTTAAATTACGTAATAAACGATAATTTTAGATAACACACTATTCTAATATAATATCTGAAACTGCAATCTAAAAGCTAATTTTTATGATGACTTGAAAGTTCAAGTGAAAAATGTAAGATCGAACTATCAAATTTCTATCACCTTTTCCGAAATGCAGAGACTCGCATAAAAGAGGATAATTCGCATATACTTGTAACCTTTCTTTTGATAGCTAATAATTTTGTACGAAAGAATGAAAGTTTGCAAACACATTTCCTGTGATATCTCCAAATTCCCATACAGAAACCAAAAAATTTTGCGATTGCACTAACAAAGATAAATGAATGAAACTAATCAATTACTGAATAGAAAATTATTAATCGAACAGAAATACTCAACCAAAAATACAGTTTGCCGAGATCGACTCTGAACAGTACTGCAAGGAAGGGTTAGCATTCTTTGAAGCTTTTTAGTGTTGACCTGCGGATTTATGAAATGTTGTTAACCTGCATGCAAAGGAATTATGCAGATACTAAACAGTTTTTTAATTCTCTGATTCATAAAAATGAGACTCAAGAAACAATGTCTACTAAGGGTTAGTATTAATTTCCCGATCCACATACTTTCTCATGTAATCATTCAAAATATTTGCAAAACATGAAATAACGAAAATTTACTATAGAAAACTAAGCTAACTTCCAAACACTTATTTCATTACTGGATATAACTTATAAACGAGTTTTTATTTCACGGTCATAAACAATATTTGTGCCACAGCACAGAAACTGCTAATTCTTAATTTTTTTCACTACTTATTATAAGTATTGAAGCATATAACATTATTTTTAATACACTGGTTCTACATGAAAAACTACACTGTAAGACTGCGAAAAGTTTCACATCTTTATTTAGTAGTCAGTGAGAATACATGGAATTTATGTCACAAAGCAAAGCAAATTGAACCTATAACTATGGCGACACCTCTAAAAAATGCCGCCCCGACTATCAACACCATATCCGCGCACAAGTCTATAACTTTAACATGAAAATTTCGGAAATACGCACGATTCCTGAAAACACCCATCAGTCACCCCGACGCTATTGACACAAAATGCCTCCTGTGCAATAACTTGACCCATGACAAATTTTCGGAGAAAAACTATTTGACCGTGCTAGAACAGACAAGATTTCGCGTTTTCCAAACGAATGACCCAGATACATCAAACGGAAATTGCAGACGAGCCAGAAGCTACATCCATATTCCCACCCATGCTTACCCTCTTGTAAGCACGAAATTTACTGTCATTTGAAGACCGACAATTCCTCTTCCATACTTCCAGGCCCATGTTATATTTGTTACACTATTCAATTTGAACCCTCACTAACTCCGACTCCTTGACCTGCAAAACTCCACTTATTTACGTTCCGAGTATTCCCGCATTCTACCACCAACTATTAGTCAATAATTGGTCCCACGAAAAAAACACCTACCACAGTACACTAACCAAATGAAGCATGCAGTCATTCTTACTTTCGTGATTACACTTATTTATAATTGGACTCAGAACAAGGCTCTATGATTAACAGATGACGAAAATATTATCTTATAATGTCCTTCGGGACATTAAAAAAAAACAATTTGTAGCATGAAGAAAATTCACTTGTTAAGCAGCTTTCGACGATGCGACCGAGTGTCGTAACAACTATTAAAAATATGAAAGAGGTCGATTTATATTTTGTATGATTTTAAAAAATTGTTCCGTTTTTAATTCATAATCCACATTTTATGATGATCTAGAGTAAACAGTTAAAACGGTCTGACAATAATGTTAGCTTAAGAGCTGCTTTCACCGCACCTACGATCCGTATAGAGCCATTCGTATAAGCTTGAATTGGAGTCACTTTTCCTCGAATGATTTTAAATAGGAGTTCACGATCTAAATAGAATGTTACGTCAGCTTTTGGATTAACTCCATTACAACACTGCCCTGCGCCATTCTTTAAATCGATATAAAACTCGCCAAACTCAGTGCAGTACACTTGGAAAATATGCCCTACAGAAGTAACCAATTGTTCGTCAATAACCATCGTTAAAGAACAAAGCAAGTGGTCAATATCAATATCTAGAGTATCCAAGCAATCATTCAAACTATATCCAGAATTCTTTTCTTCGTGTGAATCTTTCTCAGATAAGCCTGACAGATCAATTTTCAGATGCTTTGCTGTTTCTTGGCATCGATCTGTCTGCTGCTTTAAATATTGATCTCGTTCCTGCTTTTCCACATTTGACAATGTCACAAAATCCTGGGCAGCCCCTGTTAATGTTTCCATAATTTGAGAGCCTACTTCGGACTTCAGTACCTGAAACTAAATGTTATCAATGAATAAGCAAGAAATTTATAGACATATCTTACATCACAGTAAAGTTTGAATCCATATTAATCTTAGAATTCTTTATTAGAAGAGATACTTCCGTTGATAGGAAATTCTTCTAGTAACTATCTGAATAATCCAAAACATTGAAAACAAAAAAAGTGCCGAAAGTGAATGACAGAGCAGCTTTCATTAAAACAACTGTGAGCTTACCTTACTGAAAATGCTTAGAGCCATATTCTCGCCTTCTTTAATTACTTTTACTTCCGACAGTTCTACTTTGATAATTTCAATACCCCACGCAACAGTAAGTACACCAAGTTCAAGCTGCATAAAATCTCTATAACTGGTAGGCGACAAAGTAAACGCTGTTACTTGAATCATTTTAAAAGATACTATGGACAGATTTAAATGATCCTTCTTGACTTTTACTCGAAAAAATTTGAATTTCTTCCATCTGATTCCTTAAATATATGAAAGTTTTTGTCACAGAAAATAATAATTATACAGTTATAAACCAGGAACAAAATTATCTTACAGAAACCAAACTACTTTTGAATCTTGTAAGACATAGTGCAATGATAACATTAAGTTTGTTAACAATGAATTCTCTAGAATTTAGATGAACCTGCAGGTTCTCGCACAATTGTTTTCGGCCCATACTCGATGTGATATCACTGACATGTCGTTTACATACTAGACGACGCAACGTAGCAATGGATGAAATACGGATAGATTGATTATGTTCTTGTATAGCGCATACGGATGCCAGAGCATCTTTTACCTCAAAAATTTATATGCATTACAATTTACAATCATAAAATAAAAAAAATATAGAAGTATCCTTTTCTGCTGTAATACATCAATTATAAACTAAGCGATCAAAAATTAGGTTTACAATTTTAGACATTAAATAATATCTCATCCGAATTTTAAACATACTATCAGTAATTTTTTCGTCCACTTCGTAAAAAATTAAAATGGAATGACAAAAAAAATGAATAATTTGTAAAGTTCACTTGTAACAAAACGGTAGCTCCAAGTTCGACTAAACCCCGATCAATAGTTATTACTTGCATCGGCGGTACATTAAATGCATTTACCCGCAGATCTACTTTTGTACAAGTATCTATACAGGGCAGTATAACTGTTGCACCCGGTCCTCGCGCTTTTTGTGCTCGACCAAGCCGAAGCACAACAAGACGCTCAAAATCTCCAACGAACTAAAATTTTTGTAGGGCGTTCAGTTTTGGTATAGTTAGGCTTTTCATCCTGAATTTCTCTTTCTCCGTACTATAATGCTTACACTTGCCTATTTCACTAAAAATTTAGTTCTTTGTAGTAAAATAAGGACATAATAGCTGCAATTATATTTTTATAATTTATCTTAATTATGATGTGAACCTTAACTTTAGCAAATTGTAAATTCTAAAACTCAGTACCAAAAGGAAAAATAACGGAAACTAATTTCTTATAATTGTGATTACTTTGAAGTAATAGCAAAAGCAACCTTGATAGAGAAAATTAGGGACAGAGGAAGAGTCATTAAAAATAATAAAATTGATAACGCAACAAAAATTATTTCTACTATCTCTGTGTGAATGGTAGGTGGTTCAATCTTCGTTATTTCTCTTCCAGCCAGTGAATATAAGTACCGGTTGTAGCGAGGGCCTATCTATAAAATGTTTGCAGAATGAGGACAAGGTAATCAACGAACAAAACATGAATGGAATGCTACTATAAAAGATATCTGTAATCAAAATGTAGCACAACATTACTCATCATATGGTAGTCTCAAGATTAATCTTTTCAGCTGTCTATTCCTAATAACTATTCACTAAAAAGGAAGGTAGAATTTGGCTCAAAAAAATGAATTTCATGAATTTGATAATTTGCTAAACCGATCACAGATGTCGAGAAAATAGATCACAAAAAAGTAGTGAGATAAAATAACAGTAACCTGCGTAGGATAGCGCTTTGGCGCGACATAACCCATTCGGTCGAGATCATTATACGGAGCATATGTAAAAATAGACCGATACTTCAACTGCCAATCACTATTATCATCAATCAATGAAGAATTATCTTTCGAGTCCTTGCAAAAATACTCCCTCATTGCTAATTTTAGCTAATAAATCACTTTGCTCCAGAAAAAGCAAAAAGAGGACGACAAGGATATTCTGCCTCAATCAATAACAGTGAGTAACAAGCAAACCAACTGGACAGAGATAATACTGGCGAGTTAATCCTCTTCATCCTTTGCATCCATAAGAGGGCTCCTTAACTTCATTCAAAGAAATAGTGCTTGAAGACAGGAGAACATATCAAAATTCTTTTGCTCTGTGGCAATTCGAATTTAGACTCATTTTGCAGCTTTAAACTTAGATCCATTTCACTGCAAAATCTTACGTGGAACTGAGCAGATTGTGCTAGCCATTGTTTCTTCTCATCGAAATGATGTCTTTTTCACATAGAAATAGAGGACTAACGAACAGGTCATGACCCGTAAGTCCAACAAAACTGTTTTATACTTGTGTGGTGAACTGTAGTATCAACATTGTAAACTTGTGTGGTGAACTGTAGTATCAACATTGTAAACTGACCGCCAAACAATGCATTCCGTTGCAATACAAAGTGTAAGAATGTGTTTTGCACTATAGTTAGAAGTTTTATTTTATATCTTGATTATAAAAGAAGAAATATATATTTCATAAATGAGCTATAGCTGTTACAAAATGCAATCATATCGTGTTAGATAATTGGGGAGAGATTTATAAACTTTCACTGGTTTCTTGAGAATTTTCGGTTACGGAAGTAGAGTCACTGGTTGAGGGTGGTGAAGGTTCCTTAGTATTCTCGAAAAATATCTGAAGTAGCGTTACGCTTTATCAACACGAGTGTTGAATATTTGCATTATTAACTGCAGCGAATTAAAACATGTCATCAGGTATATGTTGATGAAATTTGGATAAGATCACGTCATGACTCTAAGATAATAGCTGGTTTGAAGCAAATTACGGTAAAAGATTTGATAGCAAGAAGCGTACTGTTGGAGAACCATAAATTAGTCCTAATTACGTATCAGTTTTAAACTAAATACTTTTTTGATACCGCTCTATTTTCAACTTGATTTACAAATTTGGCCCTTCTCTAAGTTGAACCGCAAAACTATATGCTGTGTATGATTTGCACTGTGAATCATTTTTAAGCTGATTAGTTAGCTACACATGAGAATTCAACTCAAAAATTATCATTCAAACTGGTCGGATCATCAAATAATATTTGGTTCGTATAATGGTCTAATTTAACATTTACTTTGATTCGAAATTCTCCTTGCGGTGGTCCATAGTGCTCAGCCCAGGCACCAGCACAAGTTGCTCCTTCTGGTGCTGGTATATGATAAATACCAAAGTGGTGCCGGTCCGATTCTGGTATTTGATTGTTGATGCATCTGGAATAAGCTAGACTTTAGTTTAGTTATCAATCTCATTCGCTCCTTCTTTGTTCACAAATTAAAATATGACTTAATGAAGGAAATCCATAAAGATACTTTGAAAGCCATTCTGAAGTTTGTATTTCACTGAGAAGAAAAAATTGATAAATTCAATTTCGTCTACAATGTATAGATCAGTGTATGGAAAACCAAAGTATAGTTTTTCCTTGAAGTGAAAAGTAGTATTAATGAGTAACGAAGGAAATGTAAATCTAAAATGTTTTTTATCTGATATTTTTTCATATCTTGTATTTTTATATAAAACTGTGATCATATAAAGTATGGATGGTGAAAGGTACCTATAAATGAGTAGAATCCGAATACTTTGTCCATAGCTGAGAAGGCCAGTAGCTGGCCTTATGCGGAATAAGTCATTTCTTGTGCATTTGATTTTGAATGCTTGTCGAGAATCACTTCTGTTTGTCAACTTCATCCACGTTCGTATTTCTCCCGTGACATCACCCACAAAAACAATCTAAAAATTGATCATATAATTTGATCAGATGGATAAAATTTGAGTGCAAGGTCAGCAGCCAGAAGATACAGTTGTGCATAAGCATAATAATATTGTCGTGCTTTTTTTCATCTCCTCTCCTACTGTAGTCATCTCAAAAATTAAAAGAAACTGACAAGACGAAATACATTACTTTATCATTCGGTTCAGTTCGGAGCAGAAAGTTGCGTTCTGACACGGTATGCTTTACTTTCATCTTAAATTCAGGAACTAGATGTTCGTTCAACCACGCGTAATCTCAAAATTTTAAGCATTAGAATGACTTATTAACTAACTTTTGTAATTTTGCAGCCAATTTATTTATTTCTTGGTTTTGGAAAGAAATTAAAAAATTGATGTTTATGTTGATTTTTGTGAAGTATGCAAAAATTTTTGGAAGTCTGTTCGTATTTTGCAAATTTCTGAATATTGTTAACAACCGTATGTCATAGTGATTATGAAAAGTTTCTCAGTTCGTAATTTTCCATGTTTGTAATTATAAATCTGCTATAATGCTTTTAATAATCTAAACAATGAATTATGCGCTCAAGTTGGTATAGTTTGACTCTTGCAGATTAGAAATTGTTCAAGTATTTAAGATGAAGGAAAAGGAAATTACGTGTTTAAGAAAAAATAATTACGTGTTTAAGAACATTTATTTTGAAGTATTTCAAATTTCCATTCTTTTTTCAGTCAATTTGTCTAGTGCGGAACAATATGGCATTTTAGAACAAAATGATGTTTGTTAACCTAACAGAACTGAATATGGATCAAGAACTGACTTAGTTTTGTATCGTTGTAGTTCAAACCTCAATAGTCCATTATTTGAAGTTTCAGACAGAAAAATTTCGAAATCTAGATTTAAAAAACTATTTTCTTTCTCTTTGGAAAGTCAGTAGAATGCTATTTTTTGCTGCCAAAATTTCTTGGTAACTAAACTCATATAAACATCTGAATTACTAATAAACAACAGATTTACAAGCTGATTTTGGTTTCAAAGGTTGAAAATTAGATGGGAAAAAATTAAAATTAAATAAATCTGCAGTCGCTTCTAATCTTATTTTGAAGTGTCAGTACTTTTGATTCTGTAATTTAATAGTGATAAAGACTGTTTCAAGTCCATTCCAATAATTGGACATTTGCAGTTCTTTTGTAGATAGTTACTTTTTTAGAATAATACTAAACTTGCTTCAAAAAAAAATTATCAAGTTAAGAAGAGTATTATATATATAAGCAGCTTATATTAATTTTAGCTTCATCCCTGCCATCTCTATTCTTTCAATTAGACCATAAACAATTAATTTCAAACTGAAAAGCATTAATTTGTAATTTAGTCATGGTTATTCAAAGAAGTAAGAGTAAAATATATAGCAGATATGTTGCCAGACCTTGTGTAATTAAATTTTACGTTCCTAAGCTTAATTTCTTTAGTCCAATATCTAACTTTCGTATTGATAAGTTAAATTTAGCAACTATTTATTGACACGTATTTGTTATTTTATTTTACCACTAAATGAAATTTAAAAACATACTGTCGGATAAAGCTGATAATTACATTTTTTAAAAACTGGTGGATATATTTGCACGCGACAAATTTTCAGTTTCATCTCTCTTTTTATTCTGCTTCGAAATATGGAGCTTAGGAAAGGTTTATTAGCTCAATGCGTGGAAACTTTAAATCCTTTTGTAGAAAAAAAGGTACATTTTATTGTAACTAAATTTAATTTTACGCTGAAAGACAACATATCTCACTTGTTGGTACCAATAAACTTCCTGAACAAAGAAACGTTTTATTATTGTCCTCAAACTTTATCTGTAGACATTCCGATATAAATTGCTTTTATCTTTTATAGTCATATTTCTATTTCACAGAGTGCTTTTCGAGAAGAAGCTAAAAAAAATATTAGGGTCATGTTCACACACTGCATTTTTTAACACCCTCTTAAAATTTGCTTTTGCTTTTCATATTAATTTAGATAGTTTGTGTTTTAAAGTTTTTATGATATTAACAAAATTCATTCTTAATTTTAAATGAAAATGCAAGTGAAATCAGACTATTTGAATAAAAAGAACTAATTAAAACATCAGAATCCTGTGATCAGCTACTGGTTACTTTTCCTTAAGTTAATGTTTTCTGGTGAAAATCATAAAACATAATATAACTGAGGTGGAAAATTTTTTCCTAATGAAAGTTAGGATTTCATTTTCATATTCAGTTAAAACAGAAAGTTGCAAGCCCCATTATGAAGAAGAATGGAGAAAACTGCGAGGAGAGAAAAGTGAGGCAAATGGTGCAGCTGATTTATCGAGTTGGAGATCTAATATACTGATATGCACATAATCAGAAAGGCAAACAGTGTCATCAGGTCCATTTCTCATTTTGTGTCGCGCAATAATTGTTATCTTTTAGCAAAGTGGTCACTGCTACCATTTATTTAATCCACTAAAAAAATTGCTTCATTCTGCTTGCAGATTGTAAAAATATTTTATGCTCAACTTTATATTCCATAATTATGATTTTATTTAGCAGATATCTCTTAAGAAATGCTGATATCGATTAACAATGGTGAGACTTACAATATTTATTGAAGAAGAGTCGATTTATGAGTGTAATATTTTTGTATATCTCCGACTAATTTTATATTCAGTGAAATATGCAATTATAGCTAATAAGGTCACAAAGCTTGCAACATCTGTTTTGACAGTGTGATCTTTAATATAGTTACTGTTAACTTATGATGTGGCTTGGAAATTAAGATAGTTGTATAAAAGTAATATTTGCATTTTGACGTGAGAGTATCTCTGGTTTTTCTGGAAAATGTGAATTTCACTGAGAAGTTTTGGTATTGAACATTCTATTCTTAAATCTTACGACTATTGGAACCTGCATCTAAACACATGATATCATCAACGATCTCTTCATTTTGCGATATTTCAATCAACCTTTGATGTAATATTTACTAGCAGCTTCGTTTCTTAGCTAATAAAGCGCAGTCTACTGCAGCAAGATAATGAGTTGAAATTGATAAGTACATTTGTTTTTGTAGATGCAGCATTCCATTTTTAGATCGTTTCCAACACATTCGCACTTGAATACTTAAAATAATTTCGAAGAACAATGTTGATTATTTACATAATAGAACTGCTATATGATTTTGTAGTTACAACAAATAAATAACTGTGAATTTAAAAGGAAGTCTTTTCTAATTAAATTAAATGATAAATTGTTAGATGTTTGAAGAAAGAAATATTTAAAATAAAGAGTAACAAAGCTGAAAGTAAGTAGGATTAAGAGAAAATGGTAGCAAAATAGCGTTATTGTAGCGAAGTTGCATTTATTATATACCTTGAATGATAGTGCTCGTTTGGAGCACAAGGCATCGTAAATTTTGTTTCTGCAGTTTAAATTTATGACCTTATATACAAAGCAGGCAATAAATGCTTTTCTTGGAAGGCTCAGTTCCAGACCTGTTATTATACATTACCAGTTTATTATTATTATTATTATTTTATTCCTAAGGTCATTTTCTAAGCCTTTTTTTTGGAGTTCAGCGATTTTTTATTGATCTCATTAATAATAATACTAATGATAATAATAATAATAATAATAGTAATAATAATAAATAATAATAGTAATAATAATAGTAATTATAATAAATAACAATAACAAATAATAATAATAATAATGTTTCCACTCCAAGTTTAATTGAAGTCTAATGTGTCAAAAACTAAATAGCCTTTTGCTTTGACCATTAACGCTCCAAAACTTTCGAAAAATCGAATAAGCTGCAAGAAAAATATTATATGAACAACAAAACGACATTCAAAATATAAGATTTCTATTTTTTCTTTGATTTAGATCAAGTATTGTTTGTTAAATGATTATGTCGTTAAATAAATATGATTGAGTGAACAATGGAAACATTATTAATTTGGAGGAGGTGCAGGAAATGATGACAGATTTTGTTCATTCGATTTGGCAGTTTGCTTTCCTTGTAGGAACCGTGCGATATTAATGATAGATGATATCATTCAAGTAACTGCTGATATTGCCATGTTACTATTAAGCACAGTTGTTACAAATATGATGCTAGTGATATGTGTCACATTTCAAACAGCTTTTAATAGGAAATTACAGTCTTTATCACCTTATCAAAAGTGTTTTATATCTGTTTCCGGGGATTCTGTTCTTTCCTGTGCCAAAAGGAGGCTCGTCTGAGCAAAGCCAATAACAAATGAATTGTTCACTTAAATTGTTCAACACTTATGACGTACGGCAGAAGCTGATACAATATTTAAGGAACATTACTCACTTCTAATATTTCTTTTGTTTTTACTCTTAAAATGGAATGTTTTTTGATGCGAGAATTTAATATTTATAATGCTAGCAGTCTCGAGTTCTTATCGATTCAAATTTGAGCAGAAGTCGTGGATTACTAGCTTTTTACTAGAAATGGCAGGTATTTTTATGAAGTTGTAGCGACTGGAAGTGGTGAGGGACTCTAAAAAATACATATGCACATAACGTTACTTGGTATATATTTGTCCTTTTACTGCTTCATATGTTTATTATAGTAAATCAAAACTTTATGAAAAAAAAAGATTGATTCATAAGATCTCTCATTGTTAGCGTTTTTTGACAACGAAATAGTGATCACTGCAAATCAGTTGCTCATGTTGGACGAGACAGCATAGGATTTCTAGAAAATTTTAAAATTTGATTGGTAGAAGTTCAAATAGTTATTGTAAGGAGGAACTTCATGAGTTGTTTGAAACAAATTTTCATTACTGCAGTCATGTCATTCTCTGATTGCTGTCTCATTAATTAAATGATGCAGTTATCATTTGTGAATGACTGAAAGTTAGACCCTCGCTGCATAACCAGACTGTATTTTACCTTATTGCAAAATTTTCAAAATATTCTAAATAATTGGTTGCTCTGGTAATTGAAATAATTAAAATGCGACTCTTGTAACTCTTTCAACGAAACGTATAGATGCTGTTGATAAATAATGAACAATAATGGTATGAGTGGCAACCGGTGTGTACTTTAATTTTATTTTGAACGTAGAAAACTTCAGAAGTTTAGAAGCAACTTGCTAGGAAAAGTTTAGTTTTAATTTGGTGCAATTCATCCTTCATTTGTTCACTTTCTGACAATCATGGAAGAAGGCGAAAGAGAAGGTCAAAATGAGAGTTTGGAGCTTGTCTTGACTAGATGGTACTACTTAGTTTGAATGAGCCATTTTAGCCTTCATTGGAACCGTGTCCTAATTAACAGATTACTACTCCTTTGGTTTGTCTCTCATTTCAATGAAGTTTATCCTGTGTGTCTCTTTCATCATCAAATTATGCCTGATCTGTAAAAACTGATACTTTGAGTTAAATGATAAGTGCAAGATTTAGCGTTACTTTAAAGACTTAATAACGAAGGCATATAAGTAATTGGTAGTCAGTCAAACATCTCCGAAAGGGTATGACATACGACAAACATTGTTTTCATAAAAACAATTACTATGAAGTGGAAGGCACTATTTGTTATTACGTTCGAAAAATAGCATGTTTTTATTCTCGAATGATCAGAACGAACAGACTGAAAAATAAGTGTGCTAGACAAAAAGGAAGGCAGTCGTTTTTCCTCAGCTCTAGCTCAAAAGCAGTTAGATTTTTGAAATATTCCTCCTTTAAATAACAAATTCTACAGCAAAATATGTCTTTAAAAATTTTTATTCTAACTCATCTTTAAGTGATATAATGAATCTATCAGTCCCATTATGACTTATTTTTAACACTAAGGTAATGAGAACAGTTATGTCTAAGAATATACGTTAGTTCGTAAGCTAACGATCTCTCTGACTGTACCTGTGATGGCACTGTTTGATAACACTTCAGTACTCAGACGTTAGGACAGTTCAATGTATTTGTATTTTATCCAAGCATGATATTAGATGACGAAATCGAGAAAATTTATATTTGAGAAATTCCTACAATTTCTTGAAAGCACGCACGCTCATTTCCTTTCCTTACACATTCAAACCACCTACCATTTATCCATCCTTCATTCATTCCATCTGTTTCTGCTTGAGGGTGCCAAAATTTTTCTCCCAACTGTTCAATCGATGAAGTAATCAATCTTTCGAGAGCAGGTGAGAAAAGAATCATCAATCTTAACGACCTGAGAACTTTCACGAGTGGGCATCGCACCAAAACATCGTTTCCTTTCCCCTCGTTCTAACCCCGTTAACTCCCCCGATCTTTGCCACCTTTTCCATTTACAGTGTCTCTTTTTTATTATATCATTTTTTTTTCTAGATTTTCTCTAAAAAAATCTGTTCAGTGGACGTTATGTCAAATCAGTTTTATTGGCGAAAATAATGAGTTTTGAAATTTTGAGATATTCATCTATCGTGAGTGAGTTATTTGTGAACTCCTGTGTGTTGGTAGAATGCTTCTTGATCAAAATTATTGCTGTCTGCAACCTTTGGCATCCGGCTTCTGAAAAATAAGTAGAAGTGATTTACTAAAAGTGCAGAAGTATCATGAAATGTTTCATGCAACTTCTAATAAATGATCAAAAAATACTGATTTCGAAAAAGTTTACAAATAGATCACTGACCATAGATGTTTTGTTCTTTGTTTAGGAAAGCTGAATATAGAATTATCAATTTTTTACTGTGAGGAATAGAGAATGACAAAAGCTATGCATCAAACGATGAGAACAAAATTAGTGACTTCATTTATTCAGAATTATCACCACTTCAATTGTCTTTTTTCTTAGTAATCCTATGCTGTAATTAATCATTCCGAAATTATGGGGCTGAATATTTTAGACATGAAATAAATATATTTATGTTGCAGACAGAATTTTTGTTTTAATGACTCAAATCTGAAGCTTATTTCTGGAGAGATAGATTATTATAAATGAAACGTTTCGATCTGATTGACAACTTATATATCTAAGCTAGAGCAGTAATGCAGAAAACAGTCATTACTGTTATTAAATAAATCTATGGGAATTGCTGGTTCGAATCTGTGTCTTTTAGTTTTATCTGCGCACTTTCTTCTGAAGCAACAATGATAAATTAAAATTATGAATTGAAATTTCATTGAAACGTTTGTTTGTTTTTCTCTTTTGGTCATTGATTCACGAGACGTCATCTTTTTAGGTTAATAGGCCTGTATTTTGATAGTACTGCATCATTACCTAAATTCTTTGTATACTAAAGTCAAGGTAAAACGATTAGGTTAATCTAATGATGAATGCCACGTTGGATTCATTAGTCATATTTTTGTGGGAAAATTAAGTTTAAAAATTCTATTAAACTATTGTAGAAAACAAAAGGATTGACTGATGGCAAATATTCTTTAGTAACTCGAAGTAGAAGAATAGGTTCATTAAATCGTAAACCAGAGTAACTTTTGTACACTGCCATCTGTAATAAATAATATATTGAATATTGCTTACATAAATGATAAAGATGAATACTTTTACAGCAGTCCATCATTAATTTAGTTTAAAAGCATAATCACGAAGGAGCAAATAAATCTTCCACTTGTGTTATGTAAAAAATTTACGACCCAAGCATGCTTCTTAATTCACTAAATACGTCATGTATTTCCTTTTTCTTTTGGTGAAGTATAGGGTTATGAAGACACTACTTCAGTATTTCATTTATTCATCAAATAACTGGGATATTTTTTATTCCCAGTCACTTGAAGTGTTCATTTTTCGTATTCTTATTACTTTCTGATTGTTTTAAAATTTATTTTTTTATCTACTTGTCATGTTACTCATCATATTGGTTTGCCTTCTTACGTAGAGAAGTATTTTTATACCGATAGCAAGTTGAAGCCAAATTCCATTACACCTATCTATCATTACTTCAGCAAGTGTTCTTCCTTGAGGTTGCATTTCCTCCTTTTTTCTTTCCATATTTAACTTTTTTGTTAAGCCTGTACATATTTCAATTTGCAGTTTATCCATTTCACTTTCAAAAGTTAATTAAAAATTCACCGTGTAAAGTTCATCTAATTGATATGAGTTTTCTTTACTAATATTCTTCGTGTTTTCATGCATCCGCCACTTCTTTTTTTATGAACTAAATCTGTTTTTGAAATTTTGTGCAACAGAATTCTAAAGTGCAGATTTGATTTATCAAAATATTACGGTGAAATCAATCAATTCAATTACCATTCACTGCTCATTTCTCATTACATGAAGATTTCACTAACTCTACATAATAACTTTCATTTACTCTTATTTTTCATTAGTTGTGAATGAACTTTGATTAATGCTAATGTTTCACCCTGGTTTTTATTTTGTAAACAGTATTCTGGTAATATTTACCTAGTCGCTGGTGTAAAAATTTCGCATCGTTTAACAGTAGATGCGTATCGGAACGATGCAACATTCAATTTGCGGCAGATGTAGTCAAGAAAAGTGAAATTTTCAGATGCGCATTATTCATTACTTGTTGCTGATATACTGGCTTCTCCTTTTCCCTTCTTTAATAATTGTCAACGCCATTATAGATGCTTCTTGGTGGTTAGTTTTCTTTTGGTTTTTTGTTTGAAGTTTGGAATTGCGATGATATATAGGAAATCTCATTTACTTAACACATTATTTTTAAATAGGAATGAGCTAAATTTTTAACTGGCCGAATCAGTTAGTTGTTTATTGCTGATTATCTATTTCACCTTCGCTTCTTATTATGCTATATTCTAGCTCAGTTGTAAATTTGGAAGGTATTTGCATTAATTAGTGGCCATCTAAAAACTATGACAGACATAAGCTTTGATTGTGAAGCGTATAAGTTTTGTTCCAAACGTTCATTGTATATTTCCAGTGGTAAATTTAAATTCGTTATTGCTGAATTATGGTAGGATTTCAAACCGTTCTGGTCATATTAATTAATAATGTTCTTGCTTTACAAAAAAAAAACCATTAAAAAAAATTTTCCAGTGTCATAAAAATTAAATTCGAAGATATCTTAGTCTATTGTCAGATAATTTCCTTCGTAGATTAAGGTGAAGTTATAATCAAAAATGCATAATTTTTTTAGAAGCCGGAATGCGATGCGGTATTATTTTCAGGTCATCTGTAGCTCAGCTAAGTACAGCAAATTTATTAGCCGGAACTAACTCTCGACCAATCTGCTTAACGTTGCAAGGTCTATCTCCTGGACAAGCACGTATATGCGAATTGTTCCGAGACCACATGCCTGCTGTTGGAGCTGGCGCTAAAACCGCTATCGCTGTTCGTTTGACCTTTTTTTCTCGTTATTTTTTTATCGAAGGTTTTTGTTGGACTTAAATTACAAAGTTATAGTAAAACTGCTATATTTAAAATTAATCGTCCTAACTACTTATTGCACTTTTCACTGCCTTGAATATTCAATTCTTCAAGTATGACTTGAGGTCAAAAATTTTTGACAATAACTTGTCAAAGTTGAGCAAAGATTCATGCAGATTATAGACATTCCTAATTCTTTCTGATCTTTACTACTATTATTGTGTTGTTTTTTGCTGGTAAATCTGTATTGTCACGATTTGTACTGCTGTTTTTAAAGACACTTTAAGATCGTACTAAGAATGATGTATCATTTGTGAAGTTCTTGAAGGACTTTAATAAGTATGTGGTTTTTAATCGTCCATTATTTTTGTAATATCATTCTCACTTAGCTTTTTTTGAGAGCTATGAATTTGTGAAATATATAGAGCATCAAGATATGTTTTAAACGATATATTCCTTGCGAACAGCTTACGTTAAAAGTCAGATGTGTAACGATGACTGAATCTCTTGTGACAGTTATTGGCAAACTATTTGGTTTGTGTGCAGAGTTTCTGATCTTGTGTCTTTGTAGAATATGTTCCCCTCATTTTTTGATCATTTATTGCTTTTCATTCCCAATAATTTTGAAGAAAAGTGCGGAAGAAGAGAGAAGCAAAGGTAAGTAAGGTAGGGAAATAGGAGTGAAGAATGTATAAGAAAATGATTGATGTGGCTGCTGAATGTTTATATAGATGACTACTGATTAATCTGACTCAAAGAACAGTTCACTCAATTCAAAATCTATTAATCATTCCCTTTTACTACTTCAGATACAAGGTTGATATCACTAGAGAAATAAAAACTCTCCACTGTTATATTATTTACCAAATCGCTAATCATTTCACTCAAGTTGTATGGGAAAAATGTCTCTCTCTTTATAGTCGTTTGATTTACAGAATTACTGTCGAAACTATGGATAATTCCGTCGATTCTCTGTCAGCACTATCAATTTTTTCTTCAAAAACCAGAAACTCTTGTGCATTAGTGAAAGTCCCGCAACGCAAGCTGAGCGACTTGATTTTCGTATTGTAAGTGATGGAATTATGGCTCTAAGTCTATCTAGTGCACTGCTTTTTATAACATTTTTGTGAATTTCTAATTAGTGTTGTGTTATAAGAGAAATCTGATTTAACGCTTTTTTGATCAGAAGATAACTTCACGTCGACCCAAACATCTGAAATGATTTGCAGTTATAGTGGGATAACAGGAAGTGAAAATCAATAGTGAAAAGCACTTAGTTATAATTTATGATAGTAAACCAAAAATTTTCAGGCAATTTTCAGACTCTTCGTGTATTTAGGCTTGCTGTAATCAAAACTAATAAGACAGTCAAAACTGTCTATGCAATTGTTAGGTACGAAAATTAACACCATAAGAACCACCATAGGAACCACGATAAGAAGTAGCCCTCATAAAGGTTGGCATCACTAGCAGTCGAGATCGAGAAAAAACGAAAGTATGATATTCGCTAATAAACTGGGGTCAGGGTTGAAATGCAGTATGACAATAATTTCGTATGTGACTTCAGATGCGGTAGCAACAAGCTTCCATAAATGTAAAGCGAAAAAAGATCTTGACTCATTACATTCTATTTCAAATCAGTATATCTGCTTACTTCGAGACATAAATCCAATCGATAGTGCTATAAAAGACACTTGAAAAAAATCTCATTCACCGCCATGGATTACGCGAAGATGAAGCAACGGAGAACAGCACAGCAAATTTGAGCAAGCCACCGGTATAGCCACAGTACCTGAATAAGCACCAAAAGCAATAAGACAGAAAGAAAAAAGATCTTGACTCATTACAGTCAATTTCAATATAAGAGTGCTACTTACACATATGCTGATCGTGGTTCATGATATCCGGCCAATCAGCATCTTTATACCTGTTCTAATACGCGTATCGACTCTGATCTCTATGTTCTCATTTGCGACAACCTCCTGAACACAATGACTTCGCATGCGTGGAAACGTTTCAGATCATAGTTTTTGTAAATCCCAGATGGATGCATCACAGCAGTCTTCTAGTGTATTCATGTTAGTGCATTTTTTTTTTCATTTTTTTTTTCAATCTGCGTTGTTTGATGGTCTACAGCCTTCACACGTTCCCTATAATGTTGGCACATGGCTTTCTCAGCTGCATACATATTTCTATCTCGAAGGTGACAATGTCACACTTCATTTTGTCGGGTAATGTTTCTCTGTCGCAACCGCATCGATGGATTATCGGCCGTTTCGGCTAGCTGATTACTCCGTATCTTGAGCTTTACTATGGCTAATTTTCCTCACTATTTAGCTATACAGAGCGCTTTCTGGAGTGCTATTAGATTTTCAGCCAGGTTGTATTTAGTCTGAAAGTAGGGTACAATAAATACTAAATAGTTATGAGCTTTCTCCGGCTTTAAAGTCGCTCTTCTGGTGGATATGGGCACGATTTCCACAAGCACATTATGAAGCTGTTCATTTCTTTTTTCATGTGTATAATAATTTAACTTCTGACTTTATTCATTAGCATATTTATATTAAGTGATAAATAACAGTATCTGGTAAGAGCAATTTAATTATACTAGAAGAAGTGATTACTTGTGCAATATTACTGTTTAATGCAAATGTGAAGTAAATTTTCACTTATTGAGTTGTCCAAATTATTGTGATTCGGTAAAAGGAGTCGAGCCTTATATTACTTAATTGTAAATTATATTAAATTTGTTTAAAATTAGTAGTATTAAACTTGTATTTGAAGCAATTTTTTAATGCATCGAGTTTTCCTAAAACAACCCAGTTTCTCTAGTATAAATTTTTGACATTTAAAAAAGAAATGGATTTAAGAGAAACCTAGAGTAACCTTTAATTTATTTCTTATCAAATGATTTATTTTCCTTGCATGGAGAAAATATTTCAAAAGTATGAAAGAGAATTCTTTACCTGTTCCCACGTTTCTTCATCACTTTTTGTCTTTTCTATTGCTACTTTTTATGGATGCTGATTTAGGAGTTATAGAGTAATAAGCCATTTATTGTCAACTTATTCTGCATAAGTATGGTTATTTTTTCAGGAATGCCAGCATCAGTTCCGCAACGAGCGCTGGAACTGTTCTACACCCTATGGTTCTGGTTATTTTGGTCCAGTTCATAAAATTGGTCATTTTTTGAAATTATTTTTTTATTTCGCGAATAGATAATGTGAAAGTACACGCTTTGGTGTTTGCCAAGTAATCTTAGTTGTGTAGTTTAAAGAAAATTTTTTGGAATGAAGGACAACATTTACACATGCATTCAACGTATATTTAGTATTTTTTTATATTCTTATCTCTGTATCAATAAGAAGTATTCTGAACTTCTGCAGTGATAGTTTCAAAAAATATTAAAATGTTTACAGTAAGAAATGAATTTGACACGACTATAGTCTGCACTTTTTGTTCACTTTTATTTGTCTAGATTGTCATTAATTTAAAAGTGAGAAATTTCTAGGTTCACGTGAAGCTGCTTTTACATATTCCATTTTATCAGCGGGCGTAACGCATGAAATAGGTCGTCGATGTCGACTTGGTTTGCTACAATCATGCGGCTGTAGTCAAGCAGCTCGGCCAAGTAGTGTTAATGCAGAATGGACTTGGGGAGGCTGTGGAGATAATATTGAATATGGCTACAGATTCAGTCGCGACTTCATTGATGTTCGAGAAAAAGAAGAAGGATATCCGAAACGCTCCACTGATCACGGACGGTCACTCATGAATAGGTGGAATAATGAAGTCGGTAGAAGAGTGAGCGTTTTTGTACTTTCCATTACGTTTTCATTGTCACTTATAGCTAAGCTTCTCTATTATTTTTTAATTTCCACTCTCTTACCAAATATAATCAGTAATCTAAAAGAAGTAGAAAATTATCTGCAGAGGTACTAAATTTACTTTTCAAATTTCCTCACCAGCTACTGAAACGTAATACTCGCCCCAAATGCAAATGTCATGGAGTGAGCGGTTCATGTAACATGAAAACGTGTTGGATGCAGTTGCCAACTATGAGACAGATGGGGTCAGTGTTATTGGCTAAATACCGAACAGCTAAGCGTATTCAGGTAAAAATACGTTTTGTAATTTTGAAAATATATCCATAATATCTAGCTATAAACTATAATGGATTTTAATAAGGAAAGAGCTGAAAGAAAGTTTCAGATTAACGTACGTGGAAATATGCAAATTAAGAGCCAACCAGGAAAAAGAGATCGAGAAAGAGGTGGTGGACGAAAAAACCGTGCTTTGCAAACAGAACTTGTTTTTTTAGATGACAGTCCTGACTACTGCGTTGAAAACAGGATGCAAGGAACGATGGGTACCACAGGAAGAATCTGTAGGTTAGAAATTTTATGCAAACATTCAACTTTACTGTGGTCAAGAGGAATTAGCTGTAAGACTCGATTATGCCTACTCATGTACCGTATCTGTGCTTCTGCACGCTTCATGTGAAATATTATCATGGAGAATGATAATAGCTGCTTTATTATTCGTACAAAATCCATATCCATTCGTTAATCTGTTTTCAAATTTTCAGGAAGGGTACGCATGGTCCTGATAGTTGTGACTTTCTATGTTGTGGTCGTGGCTATAACAGTTATACGAAAGAAACGGAAACAAAATGCAGGTGTAAATTTCAGTGGTGTTGCAAAGTTGTATGTCAGACGTGCGTTAACCAAACGCAGGTGAACATTTGTAAATAGTTCATGAAACGAAGCGAGCTATGTTTCATTATTCTCTTTTCCGTGGAAGATTGCACTCTTCGTTATAGCTCGGGGATTTGGTAGGGACTATTTTTAGTTTTACGTTTGTATTTTGAAGCTTTAAATTTTGTCAAAACCTCTGACCTTCTTTTCCAACATTCCACTGGTGACTACAGAGATTTAAGATTGAAATAGTAATTCAAATCTCGTACTATTTCCAATCTTAAATTAGGAATAGTAAGAAGATATCTAAGATTTTTGAAGATATGGATATTCTGGAGAATTTTCATCCACATTTGCGATCAGTAATTTCATTTTCAAAACTGTCTTACATGCTACTTGCTTTAATTTTGTCTTAGCTGGATCAATATTCAAATGAGCACTGTCCATGCTGATTTTAATTGTGCTGCCAAAAGTAAAGTTTTACATTACCTCTTGTAGTCGCCACCATATTTCACTGTTTTTCTCATTTAATTGTATCTTTAAAAATTTCTCAGTTTCAACTAATGTACTCTTTCGTATTTTATTTTTTTTGTTTTTTTTTAGCGCGATAGTTTACTGATTAATAATGAACATTTGTCTTTAATTTTGTGTGATACATGAAGTAACAATCTCACATCAGTATGTCTCATACCCTGATTATGTTGTTTTTGTAAGATTCTTTGTCTGAGCAGCATTGCTCCTGTTTGCTGGTAGAGTGTTGGGAATTCGATACATAACTTTTTCTAAAACTACGTTTTCCTAGTATTATACAAAAATTTTATGTAGAGGGGATTGAGAAAAAAACGGTGTGTTATGTTTAGCATCTATGTAAATCACGATATCACTTCTTTACTTTTTCACTTTATCCTCGTCATTGCAAGAAAAAGTAAAAAAGTAGATAACTGAATAAGCTGAATGAAATATTCAAGAATATGGTGCATGGAGATATGTATAATTTATTTGGGATGGGATAATAACGAACTTGCTTAGACTTCACGCGAAGGAAATCAGTTGTATGCCCTGGGAACAAGGTTAACTTGTATGCCAATTCATTTTTTTCGGCCATCTTTGCTTTGCTATCAGCTTCATCATATTTATTAAACTGTATAATGAGAGCAAAAATCACTGTAATACAGTTATAAAACCTATGTATTTGATATGAACTTTCGTGGAACATATTTGAGCTTCGGTTCCACTATTAAAATGTTGTTCTATGATTATAAGTGCAAGAAGATAAATTGAGAAAGACGAATTCAGAAAACTGATTAATTGTGAACTAGATTCACTGCAGGCAGCTATCGAAGGGAAGGAAATCGGATCCTAACATTAACTACCTGACTTTAATACAGTTGTTAGGATGTATGTCACTTGATATCCAGTTCCAAGCGAATACGTAGACTAGGACTTTCTGATTTTGCTGATTCATTTTGCGATATGTTCTGTGAATGCAGCGTCGATCTCCAAGAAAAAGGAAAGAAATAAAAGCCAGTTTATTGTGGCGCTGTCACTTATTAACGTTGCCTAGTATTTCATGTTTTTATGGCATAAGCTAATGGTTGCTACATGTATAATTCACACTATCACTTTGCAAACGCAATGTATGCTAGTCATTTTCACGTAATACTTGCCTTAGTACCGAATTTCGACATTTGTTTCTGTTTCAGAAATATTCAGAATTATCCATATGTGACCTCACACGTAACCTTCCATTACATCCCATCAAACAGTCCCTATTAAATGTTGTTTATACTAGTAATGTGATGAGACATGTGTAGTTACTATAACTAATCAATTCTTTATTCTCTTTAATGTTTGACTTGCAGCACTCAACTTGTGATAAAATCATGATAACAGAATCTTGCTTGCGGAGAAATAAAGTAATAGTGACATTTGTGAAATATCAATTTAGTCTAATTCATGAAAAACAGGCATTTTTTCAAATCGATAATAAATAAAAAGTAGAATTCCTCTGGCAAAGTGTTTTTTTCGACCTGAAAGTTTCGCGTCTATTCATGTCCATGTGCTTGATTTCTGACTCAAAAATAATACTCATTTTCTCAGCACTCTGATAGGATCTACATAGTTTTATAGTATTTTACTACCTCCAATAATGCCATAATTAATTAAAGAAAACTGTCACTGCGGATGAGTCGACTGCATATGTTTGCTTGAAAAATATTTTGATGGAATTAGTAGTAGCCCAACTTTTTACGCTTGATAGAAAGTTCTATATGTCATGAATCATGATAAAATAATTAATTTTCTCCGTTTACTTCAAACACTTGTTAATGATCCTTATGTCCAACACTCGGATACTTAAGTTCCTTGCTAAATTTTTGCCCGAGTTTTCTATATGCAGTTGTTAAAGAACTGAAAGGAAAATCTTGTCATGAATAAACTGGAATACTGGTTAGATTTATTTGGTGACTTTTAAACATTTCAGTTTGTATCAAAAAGGCTGAATTGATGGAGCGCAGAAACCCCCAGTGATTCCCCAAATTTTTTAAGATAAGATTATCAAGGAGTTCCTAACAGGTCAGTACATTTACTGACGAACTGCGTCAGTGACAGGAAATTAAGTCTTCCATCGTTGCTTATGCTATAAGGCAATTGTAATCATCGAATGACAAATGATGACGAAAAGTTTAGGATCATAAAGAATAAACTTGCAGCTGAGTCACGTTTCCTATCGTAGTTATTTGTATGGCTGCAAAAACTGAGAAAGTCAAGTATTTAAAAATATATCATTTGTTAATCTCTCCCGAAATTTTCATCTCCATCTTTGGACTGAGTTTTAATTTCGTCGAGCAATAGCTACTAATTTGCATGAGTCCACTTCTGATATATTTAAGGCAAAGATCACATGAGGCCTACGAAGTAACAATGTGTCTGTCTCTCCCTTCTATTCTTTTCTGATGAGAACGGGGTTAAGGGAGCATTGTTAAATTTATCGACCATATGTCAAGGTCGCAGGAGAGCTCTTCAATTGAACGATTTACTAAGAGAATAGCGGCTCATTAAGGAGAGCCTTTTCGTGAGCCAGTCAACTGGAGCGCAATTTTACTCCTCTCCAGAACAGCTTAATAACAAACTGAATCCCTTGACCTTTATTCTGTTTATAATCTTTGCATTGTCTAACCCTCAAGGTCATTTATATTATACATATCATACACAAGGTATTCAAGGCAGTTTGCTTTGTCACCGAACAACGGGATTTGTTCTTGCTAATAAATGCAATTAAAGCGACAACGAAGATAAAAGAAAACTTGTAGACTTATAAATGAATATTCATTTCTGTAGAGTATTCCCTTACTACCGTATGAGAAATAATCAGTTAGACTTGTAAAAAAGTCCACAGACGAGTTTAATTTCCCAAACCTAGTTTATTTAAATTCGCGAGCCATGTATTAATGGACTCTTGCAGTAAAACAAAGAAGTCAGACAGTTTAACTGCCCACTCGCTATATCTGGTCACTAGTAAGACTTCAACCGTTGAGGATATAAAAATTTTTAGACAAAAAATCGTAAAAAGATGTCCCATCCCACCATGAGCAATCCAAGCACTATATTACACACAATCTATCCTCATAAGAAACTCATTAATACAATGCAAATAAAGAGCAGTGAATGAATTCATGGCGACCAAAGTCTAAGTTCGAGGGTCCATCTGAGCGCGACCATATAAATTAAAATAAGTACATCTACCAATCAGCTCAGCGAAATGATTACTTAGTAAACAAGACCCCATGTGATTGCTTTTGCGTCCAAGTTACTGCTCATCATCACTGCTGACAAGACTCAGTCACTCCAAATAAATGCTATGGAACGTGACACACGCAAAGTCTGTGAATAATATATCATACTGAAAATTGGAAACTTTAGATAATTGTATTATATAAAGAAATCATAACGTTTGTCAATCAGCTAAAAATCAGGTTTAAATACATACCTAATTTGCTTCCTGAGCGCAAATATGCTTCTCATACACTACTTTGCATCGCCATAACTTTTTTCATAACTTAAACTTGAAAATGCTTATGATTGCAGTATGCAACTACTTCTTGGCCTCATGTATATAACTTTTTCAGAACTGCAAATGAAGAAGGCTAATGTTGGAACTCACAAATTCTTCCTCAACATGATCAATTAGAATTCGTGTTGAATTAGTGCGACAAGTAAAAAATGATGAACAGAGTTGTGAGTAGTACGTTTAACAAGCTAATTTATTCTTAATCATACTAGAAATTTATGTTAGCACACACGCCACACGCACGAAAAAGCATAATCCATAATCCAAGAGCATTGAATCATGTATCAACACCATATCTGACAATAAACAACTCCATTTTGGAGGACGCGAAAAATAAATTCACGAAACATATAAATGAAATCACATTCTTCAAAATAAACTGAAATATACTGAGATTAGCACAGTAATTAACACCTTCCTACTTATTCAGATGTAGAATTGTGCAATATTCTTGTAAATCACCTAGAATCGCTAGATAGAATACACCTCACAAGATATGAACCGGAATAAACTGTAGAAAACAAAATTATGAACATTCGCAAGTTATTATACAGAACGATAGCGATTGATGCACTGACTAGAAAAATGATGACACGTCGAAGGCTATATTTCAAGCTTTTGAAAAACATAGATAACTAATACCAAGAGAAGCCAATTACAGCGTAGTTTAAAGATTTGGTAATCTTGACCGCCGCCCAATCAATATTGGTTCTAATGGCTTGAAAGGAAGTAAAAAAAAATACTGGAACTGAAAAACATCAAAATATTGTGTCCCGTCACGGATGCTGTTAGTCATTTTAAGCTTTATAGAATTCTACTTGAAAAATTTTTAAAACCTTGCACTGTATATAAATATCTTTAACTGGAGCTTTTTGTAACGAGCAATTAAATGAGGTATGTAGGAACTACACAAAACAACTGAACTTTTTTTTACATCGAAGCACCGGAAAATGGAGATCCAAACATCAAAAAAAGTAAAAAAAATCAGAAAAAGGAATTGCACAACGACAACAGGAGAACAAAATTTTCGACTATTGTATGAACAAAAATTGTCTAGCTAAAAAAAAATATAAGTATTAATCCATCAACTTGCTACAGCGGCATATAGTTTAGAGTTGATCGACAAAATACGTTCTGATCTCACGTAAATAACACTCATCACTTCGATTTGATTTGGTTTTAAGTGGCATCTGGAAAATCCCATCACCACCAAATTAACTATATTTCCTTTCAGGAATGAAAAATAGTTGCATTGTCACAATAAAATTAAGAACTCCAAACTTTTCTCACACACAAAAGCCTACTAAGCCTACTACTGTAAATGAATGCGTTGACCTGCACTGTGATGGATTTATGTACCAAGGTACAAGACATAACTAAGCAAAAAGAAGATAATTTTCAAGCACCGTATACGTTCATAATTGATTCATGGCTTCACAGACTGGTACATATCACAACAATAATATTAAATAAAAAACTGGAAGTTTTTAGTAATGATGACATGTCTCATTTAAAAAAACGAAGAGATGAGAGAACAAGATCTTCTCAATCACATTTTCGAAAGCTCTTTGAATAAATGAATGAAAGCCGCGTATTTATAAGCAATTAGTCTGAAGGTCTAAAATTAGCTGAATGAAACTAATCAATCTCTGTACGGCTTGCAATACGAATACCGATGATTCATGTGCTGTGAATAACTGCCGGAATGACTGAACCGCTTTAAACATTTGTGACACTGAAAAAAGTTGACTGCAAACGATTATTCAAATTATTTTGAAATCAATTACAATTTAGTGGCAAGTGAATAAGATAAGCAATAAAAAGTAGCGAAGTCACGTAAATTTTAGTCCAGACAGAAAAACTACAAATAATAAGTTTATTTTCAACAAGAAATCTCAGTGCACAATTGCAGAAAAAAAGGTAAATCATTTGAAAAAACTAACCTGAAAAGGCTTTTCACCTGAATGCAACCGTTTGTGCTCAGTGAGATGGTGCTTATGTTTGAATGCCTTCTCACATACGTCACATTTGTAAGGTCGCTGTCCTTTATGAAAAATAATTCTCAATCAACATCTAATCTCAATTATTAAAATATTCTCCATTCCATAAAAAATTACAATGTTCATTATACTTACTTTGATCCGTCACTAATTCAAAACAAGGCCTCAAATCACTTAAAGAATTTAACCACCAACCAACCAAGACACAAAATGCTAGCTCTACTTATATTTGACTTGAATCCCTACATATGCACTTGAGAATACAATTTAAATTTCTTTGAATACCTGAATGCTCATATTTATGCCTAGCCAATGAACTCTGCTTTCCAAACATTTTATCGCATTGATCACAGGCATACAGTCCCTCCTCACCAGTTCGATTTGATTTCCAGCTAGCTCGATGCCCTTTTTCACTTGATGAAATGTCTGACGAATTGTCATCAATATCCTCAGTGTGCTTAAATTTTAGCGGTCAATAAAAGTGTAACGAAGTCCGTCATTTTTTGAAGTATATAAAACTGAAATGAAAATTAACAAGATGATTGAGAAAAGTGCAATGACTCCCGTCTGAATTACTGAATTTTCTGATTTATTAATGAACAATCTGGATATAATAATAGCAGATATATACTTCCAGAACTTTTTGAAAGTTGGCTACATCTTCAGTTCCCAACATCGAGTATTGAGACATGAACACACTACTGGGCCAAATACTAGATAATGCAGAAGTTGAATTATCATCTAGCATCGGTTCTAGATTTGACTCAACCTCAGAATTAGAACTGGATTTAGAAGAAATCATTGTTGGTGTTGTCCGTGTACAGCTTCTAGCAACTTGTAGTAGCGTCCTTTGCGTTTCATCTCCTTTAAAAAATCCTAAAAACAGAATGAAAAACTAACTGAAAAAACGCAATTTATCCCTTTGATATATTTCAGGAGAAATATTTCTGAATTGGAAGAAAATTCTTCCAATTCAGAAAATCTTTCTTTCATTTCATTCAGAAAGTTATTTTATATACAGTCCAAAAGTGAACCACTGAGACTGCCTGGAGACCAACAATCGTCTTGATTTTCTCCATTACCGCCGACTCCAGAAACAGGAGATGCGTGTCTAGTTGAAACTGCTACTCTGATCACTGCTGAGTCATCTTTAACTGACAAATCAAGGGGTAAATCACAAACAGCATCTGATGGTTTACTTGACGATAAATCTGCTTTTCCCATTTGCTCATCCTGAGTAAACACATGAAATAATGTATAACCACACAACATATAAAAAACACCAGCTTGCATGAAGAATTTCTGTGATGCTGCTGAATGTTGATTTCAACGATAAACTGATATATGATGAGATTCTGTGCACATGGAGATGGCAATTTCCCAAAGAAAAGCACTTTATAAAGCTCACAACAAATATATAATCTGATTATGCCTTACTGATAATCTATTCTTCACAAGACCGGTACATTGCTGAGCCCAACCTGCCATCAAATTTAAAGGGTCATTAGCAGCTGCTATGGCTGTAGCAGCACTTTGAAATGAGATTGCATTATTCCAGATGGAACGTGAGTACCGCTCACAAGCTACGCTCAACCGGTTACTTCGCCTTTCTTTTGCCCGAGTATTTTGGAACCACACCTAGTAAAAAATGATATGCAGATGACAGCAGCAAATTCTTAACCAAGTAAACCAGAATTACACACCACTATTCAATGGGAAAAATCAAGCCACAAAAATTATGCAGCAAAAAAGGAATTTCACTTTTACATTAACGAAATGGGAAGCAATTTTTCATTATGAAAAAGTATTGTTCTGATGGAAAGTAAAACTTTAAGACTGTGAAAATATATATAATAGTATAAATCAGCAAATTAAGGTGTAACAAAGAGCATGAAACTCACAGAAATAGGAGCTGAATAAAAATATCTTTTTTTTTTTACCTGTACTACTCTTTTATTAACACCAATTTGAGCAGCGACAGCGGATAATTCATATTTGGACGGAAACGGATTTCGCTTGAAATGAGCATGAAGAATGGCAACTTGAGCGTCAGTAAGGAAAGAACGCGATCGCAACGGCTTCCAGGTACCTCCAGGACTTTCATCACTAATAGCATTAGAAATGGGCAAAGCCGATCCATCCTTTGAATCTGGATGTTCACCATTTTCTGAACGAGATCCTTTTGAACCATCCTGACGATGAACTGCGCCTTCTATACTAGGCTTATCAGTAACCGCACTTGTGCTGTTAGTCACAGCTCTTCTAACATCAACGTTCACCATCTCATTTTTTACAAATGCATCGGATGGAGCAATCTCTTTTGTGGTATGATTGCTATTACTTAGATGACAAGCCCAATAATTCGCCAATAAAGTTGATGGTGACGGTAATGAATTGTTGCCACTCGCTGCCTTAAAATTAGCAATGCTAATCTTTTAAAGAAGCGTCCGAAATCCAACTAATTATCATTTAAATTTTGTGATAAGCATGAAAACCACTTTTGACAAGTGAAGAGTGAGTGAGAAATTAAGATAAAGATTGAACGACCTACTACTCATCGAAAGAAATCAGTGATGAAATCAATGAGTTACATATGGCATAGATGCGTGTTGTGGTTAATATCCTTGAACTCCGAAGAAAAAAAGCTGTGAAAAGAGATTAGATGTGAAGTTAAAATGATCGAAAGGAGAAAGATGAAAACTACGACGTGATGTGATTTATCACTGTTCAGTAGTCCGGAACACCTGTGCAATATAACTCAACCTTGTTGCTTTGCTATTATACTAAGTATTAAAGAAAAACATCTTAATAACACATTGTTCTGCGAGTTTAAACACTAAATGCTTTGGCATACTGCACCCTTTTCGAAAGTTTCCCAATTTAAATGCATTGCTGTTCAACTGAATTACTACCGACTAATAGCTATTCTATTCTTTCAACTACTCCCGATTTACATGACTGAAACTCTCTTGAGTGATTCAAATAGAAATTACGTAACACAAAGATGAAAAATAAAAACCAAAAAACATCTTTTGTAATGTCAGCAAAGTGGTATTACATCCTTCTAAATTCTTTTAGGTAGTGTAAACATGTCTCTCTAACAATCTGCTGCACCTATCATTTTCATTAATACAGAGATGCGACAAACCTGCAATAACTGTTGTTGCAGTAAGGCTGCATAGGGAGTGACATTAGAATACGCCAAATTATGAGCTGTTTGAAACTGTAACAACAGTGTCCGGTAAAGTATCATTTGGTCACCAAAGCCGAATGCTGATGACGAAGCTTGTGCTGCGGCCGCGGTGCATTTCTTACTGCTCATATGGGATGAATATGAACCCGAATGAGAAAAACGCTTCTGACAATGTCGACACTAAAATATGACATATACCAGTTTCAATTACTAAACACAATAAACGGGATTGAATATGCCTGCATTATATAGTTACAATGTCTTCATCGAAAAAAAAGGATATAAACAGACATAATAATGACCGCATACTAGAATTTTTTCCAACCTGTCTGCACGTATATTAATGGCTTTATTCATAGTTCAATAGAATTAGAAAAAACACAAGAGGAACTTTCTAAAAGTTGGCCAATAACAACGAAATAAAAGTTTGCAAATAATGAAAGCAAATTTAAATGAAAACTTTCGGGCCAGGTTCAACAATCTAGAAAAATAATAAAAACACAACTAAGATAATTATATCACGAAAAACAATTTTTCGACATAATAATTCAGAAAAATGGTGAGTAAACGTATGCTATATCTGATATTAATTTACTGAATATTACGAAAGTGATATATTTTGACGCATGACAGATCAACGCACGACTTGACGCAATATTCGCAAACTGCAAATACAGTAAAATATATTCTAAGAGAAAATTCAGTAATTGAGCAGAGCGATGTTCATTACGGAAGCAAACATTATCCTGCTTCCTCACGATCTAAGCCATGCATAATAAATTTTATAAAACATGAGTTAAGGTAATTGAATAATTAACTAGAGCTCATAAAAATAAGTCAGGTAAGACACAACAGTAAATGATCATACGTAAAACAGAAAAATCACAAATATATCAGGGATAAACAAAATCCTTGTCACATTAACAGAGATAAGGAACTAAAAAAGCTAGTTTAAAAATCATTTCAATCATAAAAATGAGATGACCGCGACTGTCAGAAATTTCGCCTATATGAAAAGGCAGTACCAAATCACAACCTTCGTGATATATTATGGATGAATTAAACTTCCAACGAAATTTTAGGATGGGCCCATCATTCAAGTAAGAAATATACTAAAGAAAGCCACCAGCTAATCTGTAGCATGAGCAACAATTTTCTACAGAAAGCGATATGAGTAAACTTTCAATACTGTCAATTCAGAAACTAATACTAAATTTTATCAATATTTTATGCCAGATAAAAAATATGTACGAAAAGACATTACAATATCACTTTGTTAGCAGTGGATACATCAGAGCTGAAACTGGTACCAGTGATTTTCAAACAAATCTCATTCACCACAAAACAGATGAGTAGTGTTATAAACAAATTGGATCACCAACTAAATTTTTAACTTATGGATGCAGTTAGTTCTCAGATATGTAAATAAATTTTTCGAATTTTTTCAAATCTTGCTAATTCTAAATGAGTTTACCTCTAACTATTGAGAAAAACATGTCTTATTGTCTATCTATTCGAACTGGAATTAAAACCATATAATGTTCAAACAGAATTTGTCAAGGATGGGGTAATAAATGACATTCTATAAAACTCATAATAGCAAAAAGAAATTCCGTGACGTGTTCTTGTAATTGACTATTCTTATGCCTTTCATGATAAAAAGTAGTGTGATCAGCAATGATTACCTGAACTAAGCACATTATTGCATGTTGAGTGGATGAACACTGATGTAATTACGGTAAAAGAGGGGAGATCGATGCATTACTGACTGCATTATAATGCATTAATTGCAAGCAATACACACACCTGCTGGATGTTCTACCATCTTGTTACGTATATAATAATTTTTCAAGCAATACAATTTCTTGCAACGGTGATACGGTAACTTGCAATCCGAAAACAAGCATCATTAATTAATGCAGAATTTATTCAACAATTCACTTCCTTCAGCTGCAAGCTAAAACGAAATTTACGAAGCATAACAGAGGGAAGAATAAAAAAGGTCACACAGCAACAGTAAGGCATTCAACTCGTTCCAGACTTCAAAAAAACAGTTAACTTGGAGAATCTTCAATTAAAGGTAGATACAGAAGCAATGTTTCACACCACATTAGTCCAACTGCGCAAATTTTTTACACAACCAAAAATAGCTTTCAGAAAAAAAATGCAAACTATGGGCAAGAAGGGTATGCCCAAGTACGAAAAAGATAAACCAATTTATAATGGATATTACAGGGTATACTACCTATTTCTGTACACAGCATCAACTTGAGCGGATTATTAAAGCACTGAGAGAGTAAATGGAATGTTGGTTTTGGTCGAATAAAAAGTTATAAATAAATGATACACCTTATGCCTGATGTCAGCAGGATGAAAGAATACAACAGTCTTCACAAATCGTCCAGAACAGGTGTTTCCATGCTTATTTTCCCCAAAGAGAAAGAAATGCAAGTGTATCTCGTTTATCACGCAATATTCCGACATCATGTCGGGAGATAGCAAACGATTTGCAAACAAAAACAAAATTTAACTCCAATTTCACACATTCAAAAATTTAAAGGAGAATAAGAGGAAAACATTTTTTCATATTTTTTCGTTCATATTATATTAGCTGATTTATACATTTCGGCTTGAACAATGATAGAGTTGTCTGTACCAAAGCATGACACAAGAAATACCGAAATAATCATATAGCCAATTTTCAAAAATCAATACAATGTAGTTATTAGCGAAGTTGTACATATGTCATTTTATTTCATTCCCTTCATCACTTGATAACTAACTAATTTTTATGTCCCAAAAATAAAAACTATTCTTTGCTTATTTCTAATTATATCATCATATGATGTGCTTTTCCTCTTACCATTTATGTTGATTTCGTAGAATTTTACGGTTTCTGAAGTTACTCTTTTTATGAGACGTAAAACATGTAAAATACTATTTCGCATCTCACTAAAATTTCACTGAGAATGAATTCGAATCAAACTACATGCTTCCTAATCGCAGACAATGAATTATTTATTGTAGCTGACCGGCAGGTAAATGAAAAAACTAACTTATTACGTTCCCCACATGAATAAGTAACGACTGTTTTCAGCTTTTCTGTGGTTCAAAAGTTCAGTGACCATGTCTAATAAAATCACATGCTAAGCACATTGTAGACATCATCACTGAATACGTAAAAAAAGATGTTTTCATGCTTAATATACATTCAATGCTCCATATACATTAATGAATCTGAGAAGTTTATGCAACAACTGTTCCCTTTTTCACTTTCGTTTAAGCCACACGATAAAGTTTCACCAGTTCGATGTCTTGATATCGTATTACTGGTTAACATTGTCTGCATCCATTCGGTTAGCACTAAAATCTCTTACCGAATTTTCAATTCATGATTCACAAAAAATTATAGCAAAAGCATCTTAACAATCACCCACATTCTATATGAAATGCTTCCCAACATATATATCCCTTTCAAAAAAGTAAGCAAAACAAACAGCAATGTCTACCAGTCCTCAATTGCTAAGAATCTTATGACTTTGAATAAATGATGCGCTAACATTAGTAGTAAAGTACTGAAATAAATATAAAACCAATGCTAACATGAGAGCAGATGAAACTATAGAGGGAACTTAATACCAATGTTCGGTGCACGATAAATAGATCACTTGGTGAACTATAAATTATGAGTATTTAATACATTTTACTCAAGAAACCGATCAAAATCAGTGCGCTACGCATTGTAACAGATCATTAAATTATTTAACTAACTTTCTGTAAGAGAGACCTTTTCATAACGTATCATGTTAAGAAGAATGGAACAATAAGTTTAAGCTTAGGTCTCTCTTAATCTAAAGTTCATGAAGTAATTCCTTCACAAGTTTCCAAAAGATTTATACTGCATGCATTGTGAAATTACGTTATTCAATCATATGCATGTGGAATGAAATAATGTTGAATGTAAGCATTCTGTGCTTTCTGCAGTTTCAAAATTACGCCAACACTCAAATGATCCTAGCTGACTGGAATCTGTAGCACAGCATCTACATATCCCAGTCAACTAAAATTATTTGACTCATTCTGCACTTACGAAACGGTCAGTGGAGCTTGCTTACAAATTCAAAAAAGTATTTTGTTAAGTTCCACAAGAACCGTTCACAAAGCGAAGATTAAATGTTGAGGTGTGAATCACACTGACCGAATTTGATCAAGAAAATAAATCTCACCTCACTACTGAAATAAAAAATATAGTCCATTAAAAATAAACGATAAAAAGTTTCAGTAAATAAATTTTTCTTGTAATCTTTTCAAGAGCACAATATTCAAAAATTTATATACAACAGATAACCGAAGAAGAAAGAGCCTTTTTAGGTTATACGAGAAAAACTACCAGCAACAAGACATGGATGCAGCGCAACTTTGCATATAACATGGATAAAAATTTACGCACATACTGCTCACTCCAACTTAAATATTTCCTTTTCCTTTTTATGAACAAAAAGCGCTGTCAACCAAAATTTCAATGGATTACAGCAACAAAAGTCTTGTTAAAACACTTTGGTGGAGCTGCTGAATTCGATAAGACAAGGGAGGTAAGGATTTGCATAGTACTAACAAAGAGAGCGATGAATATTCATTTAGCTGAGTGAGTTATCTAGGAAACAACGGAAAGGGTTCGGCAAGTGTTTTATAAACAGCTTCTGGGGAGGCGATGACAAAGGAGTGTGAAGTGCAAACCTGGAAGGGCTTTTCACCACTGTGAATTCGTATGTGCTCCTTGAGATGATGTTTGAATTTGAATGCTTTCGGACATTCCGAGCACTTGAACTTCCGCAAGGCCTCATCAGAACATTGTACAGTGGCCTTCAGGCGTTCGCCAACATACACTACACTCGAAGTGCCAGCTACCGTAGAATCATCCTTGGTTGTGTCTAGGACACCCAGCATGGTCCGTAGCTGCACCACTAGCTGGCAAATTCACAAGCTAACTCGTCCTCGATTCTTCCTCTCCATTTCATTTTAATACGTACGATACTGTAAATTCAATCAATATCCATTAAATTGTCTATACCAAAAATACGCAAAAATGCTACGTGCATATATTTCCAGTAGTAACTGCACATATCTCAAGAAAATTCATAGCACTGATAACCTATGAAAAACAAGCAACCACATCACACTAATCATTACGATCTCTTCACACTGACAACACTGCTGCTATCAACACTTCCTTATGCATCTATCAACAGTTCCATCACAATCGATCTCCACATGCCTATCACAAAGAAGCATCCTCACATTACCTTACCTCAAGATCTTATATCTGATAACTTTTCTCGTTTTTCTAATTCTCTTTCAATGTCTTTTTGTAAAGCAATAATCAGAAACTTGAAGTTAATGGAACTTTCGTAATTACTAACAGTGACGAATTTTTCTTAGTAATTATGAAAGTGAAATACTGTTTGTAATTATGAAAGAATCTATCACCATTGTTTTGGATGTCTTAATTTGAATCTCTATTCTTTACAAATAAATCTACCCAGATTTTTAAAGCAGTAAAAAGTAGAAAATAGAGAATCACATTTTAAATGAGTTTGTCAAATTTCAACTCTTTTTCCACCTCTTCATAAAGTGGAAGAAACAACCTAAATTGTAAAGAAATGTGCTGTACATCCTTTAGCAGACTTACATCACGTTTCTGTAATTAAAGAATTCTAAGTACATTTTAAGTCGAAAAATCATTTTAATAAACAAACTGAGAACAAGGCAATGTGCAAAAGCATTAAATATAAATAGCTAGAAAACAAAGACATTTCGACCTCCCAATTTCAAATTCAATGAAAACACAAATTAATTTTCCACTAAGATTCCTCACTCATAAAAACCGCAATTCTGATGCGAACCAATAATGAAAAAATTTTTAAAATTGTTCACAACAATAAGGATGTCAAAATTTTTTGCGTTATTATCAAGTTTGATCATTATGTGATCTCCATGATTTTTCTTTAACTTTCGAAGAAAATTTCTAGTTAAATGAATAACAGAATTGAAGACTCTATTAACATTATTCTGATGTTTTGATTTGCATCTTCGGAAAGATTTAATGCTTTCTGTTATTTTCCGTGAATTTATTGTGCAATCCGTTCGAACTCAACTTTGTTAACAAAAAACCACAAGAATACTGTTTGATAAAAGACACTGAGCTGAAAAGGAAATATTCGATCTAATCAAGTTGCGACTCAAATAAAAAATATTTTCAGAATTGAATGGGAGAGAAGAAAGTATTAGAAGAAACATACACACAGGTGTTCTGTTTATAATGTTTCGAAAAATCCATCGCACAAAGAGTGTAATGGATTGAGAAAACAACTGTCAAACATGATGTCTTATTTCAGCACCACCTGAAAAATTTATCTTATTGCAAGCCATTGAAACGATCGCTTTGAGACTACTCCAACAACAAACAGGTGTAGAAACTGTGCAAATTGCTTTTATCATATCATAAACAAGCCCTAGTCCAATGTTTGTACGTCCCATACAAATAGTTTCATGTCCTACATGAATGATTTTTTAAATTAAAAAAAACATCCAGAAAAACTCGTTTTCAATCATTTCTAATTATGAGCATTAAATGACACGTACAATCCAGAAAATCATGAATTACAACTGTTAAAGACCAAAAATTATAAAATTTCATCTCTTCTAACAAAGCAAAAAACCTAAAAACTATTTATCCAACAATCGCAAAAATGTACACGATAGCTGTGATTCCATTCCCCATGAAAGGAAGAAATTCCCTGACACTTAACATGGTCTGACAGAGGGAAAACAAGCAATACCATGATAATATCGTTCGGTGGGAGGAGAACAACCACGAGTAAGGATGCAAAGATTGTAGGGAATGAACATCGATGCCCAAATAGCATTGATCGCCTTATGAGATAAATTCATTTTTGTTTATAATTCGAGTACTACCATCATCTCTGGTGTAAACGATTCTTCTATAAACAGATCGATTCATTCAATGAATAGTCCAAAAAAATATGTGATGACCGAGAAAGAACTCAGTAATGACTACTCACTCGTCATAGTGAGCTATTTTCATGGATGAAAAGCAAAGTTGAAGACGAATAGCATGACTTACTAGATAGCTCGAAAAACTCATCATAATTGCAGTAGGAAGATCTAAATTCCCAAATGCCTAACAGCGTCAGATTATTTCCAATTCTAGCTGCATGACAACACAAGGTGATTTCACATGGAGTACTGCATAATGTTATTGCTACATTAACAGACTACCACTAAAAGAACGTAATATTATTTTTATTGCAACACACTACCTTAATATATTTGTGGAAACATTATATAAGCATTGCATTCGGTAGGGAAATTCTCACTTCCATTGTAAGTTCAGAGTACAAGGTTGTGTAAAAACTGTCAGGTTCCCTATACTTCCTATCACTGACACAATACAATGCAACACACTTTCTATTAAAAATACTTTACATTAATGAACATGATTACAAATTACTGCACAGAACGACTAAGTTAAAAGCAGTCAAGTGCAAATGAATAGGTAAGGAACTAACAATTTAAGAGGCTAATGACCAAAAATGATTATCTTGTATTAATTCTGTCTTTCAAAATAACTGATATGATTACTAGAGTGAAAATACAACTATTAGTTATTTATCACCTTTATAAACAACTTTGAAGAATGATCTTGGAATATTGATGCCAGCTCCATAATGGCTGGTGGTTGCTAATTCTCTTCCGCAAGATACAAAAAGAAATAATAGCCACCAGCCCATAGAGCACTAATACACAGAATGAAAAATACTTAGTGATCAAAAGGCAGAAAACTGAAAGAACCTTTCCCTCGTCATGGTATAATAGACTGAGCTTGGAAAGATATGCAGTGAAACAGAGATTGATGTGCTCCAAAGTTTCCTGGCCATCATACATTAAATCTCGCTTGACGTTCGCATTCTATTTGCAAGACTTGAGAGTTAATAAGGAATTTTGCAAGTGAAACTTTAATACTTAAGGAATAGCTCCGGAAACATATGTTCCTCTCATTTTTAAATTGACTAACTTCCTCACTTAATCATTTCTTACTTATTAGTCCATGTTCAAATCAAAGAAAGTTGCTAGTGCAGTTACTGCCTTTAGTGACAATATTTTGGAGATGAAATGAGAAAAAAACATGGAATTAAAGCTCAAAACTCATGAAGGTAGACAAAAAGAGGTAAGAGGTAGTTGCTTAACATCTCGGAGAAGTTTTTATGAGAGGGAATGATAAAACAAAATAGGACGGTACTGCGCGTGGAAAAACGATGATCAAAATGAGTAACAACAAACTATCGATAGGTGGGTTGAGAGCAAGAAGGTATAGCACTCGCACCCCAACGACAGGAGGATTGAGACATTAAGTAATTGGATAAGAAGAGATGAGGTGTAGTAGCGCCACAGACAGGCTAGCTAAAATGGATTATTCTGAACCCATCTGTCCTGCTCGCTACTCATCCTTTACTCTCTATTCTTAACTGATGCAAAGGCCTAAGGTTCCGAATTAGGAGCACCAACAAACCATGAACCTAACCAGCCAACCTGCCACTCAGCCTTATCTATTTGTCCATCTTTAGACTTGAACACCTATCAAAATCTTGTTTCATTACTCATGTAATCCTTCCTTTCTAGCCATACTTCTGCCAATACACTGGCTTGGTCCATCTGTCTTGTCATAATGCTATTCCCTCACCTTCCACTTTTCAAAGACAGGGTAAATATTGAGGGATGGTGAAAAGTAATAGAATTCACGATGTCTTCAATAAGTTGCATGTTATGATCACTATTTTGTGTAATGAAATCACCCTTATGGAAAGTTGTCTCGTATTCTGTGCGCATTTTTAAGCGATTATAAATTAATTATATGCTATGACTAAGTAGTGATTAACGACATTATCTATGTTGTTAATTTACAGTTTCGTAATGTGATTACCATAAACCAAGATGAAACAACAGCACTCATGATGTCCAAATGGTATTAATAGCTACGATCTACCTCAAATACAGTCCTCTCCGCTCTACAACTATAGCTCGAAATGAAAATTGACAATTATTGCAAGAAAATATAAGGCTATAAGCACTACCTCCCTAGCCGGTCATTCAGAGGTCAAGTAAGGTGAGATGATGTGAGATATTTGTGAGTTGAAGGAGAGGTAAAAAAGATGTCATATGGGATCGGAGGAGAGACCAAATGTTCCCTTTCATTATTTAACAGCCAGTTTATTCCTGCTAAAAAGAGAGTGAGAAATGAAGGATGAATAATGTTTTAGCAACAATACAGGTGCTCATCTGTATAATCTCACGGTCAACAAAGAGCAACATAAGACGCTGTAAAAGAACAAGGATAAGATATTTAGTACTAATTAAGGAAACGATGCTAAGGACGTACACAAAACTTAGTACGCGGGTGAGTAGGTGCATGTACGTGAAAATCCTCATCTGGAGCTATAACGAATTACTGAAGAAGGCATAAACGAGACAACTGTGGAACAGATGGTCTATTTTCCTCGCCAAGCAGTAAAAGATAAAAGGTGAATGCAGGTTGACTTGTTAAGAGCTTTGTCTTCTTCACAGGCTACGAACAAGCATCTTTCAACCATCACCACTTCTCAGTTGTGTGTCTATCTGATTACTTTGTAACCTTCTGTCAACCCGCCTAAATGATCCCACTAAACCAACTTCAGCTTCTTAACTGTTTTATATTCGTTTATTAAGTTTTCTCGTACACTGTTTAATTAACAGAAGAATAAATAAAGCTTACAACTATCTCACCCATAAATATTTCGAGTCAGCAGGTGAAGAAACTGTCAAATAATTGAAACAGTATTATATAGGTAATATGTAATAACTAGTTATTACAGGATTGTAACTAACAAAGTATTGGATAGTAATATTTACATCACCAACCGTAAAAACTCATTCTGATTTGTTATCTTCAATAAAGATGGCTTGTGTTCTTCACTTAAGACTTATTCATTGTAACTTTGGTAATGATAAGATAATAGCGAGAACTAAAGTCATTTCGAAGACCGCTCTACAATAAATTTTCTCCCATAACACTAGAAAAAGATTCATTTTGATTTTGACATTATTTGAATGTTACCCAAAACAACTAAAACCATACTCGTCTTTACTTTGCTCCCGCACTAGCGTTCTAAGGCGAGCTCACAGCTTAATGACCGTTGGTTTTGTTAAATGAACAAACTCTTTTTGCATTCTTCCAATTCTGTTGCATTACATCTTATTGACGACTACTTGAAAAAAGTAGAGTCCATTTGCTTATTACTTTGTTTCTAGATCTGCTGTATTAAACGCTAACTTCATACAAGGAAAGCTTGATACAACTTTACGCGTTCATTCACAGATTCTGCCACAGTATTCCATGAAGTTCAATTAAAACACTGGATCACTAAATCTTACTTTCAGTCTGATACTTTCTGAAAATTTTCTATCTGTAATGGATAACATTAATTCATATGAATTCATCCTACTAAAGACTTGAGAAAGATGTTTATAAGGTCGAAGAGATGAAGGTAATTTTTGACACTCAAATTATAACCAACAGGAATAATACCGTATTCTCTTATAAGAATGAAAGCCATCCTTTTTCCAATTTTATTCCTGAAATATCGCAAGTAATCTTCCCAGGACGAGTAATCACATGTAATTCAGAATTTGGAGCGGTCATTTCACACTTCAGAAAATTGATATATGAAATTTAAAGAACAGCATTCATGGGAGTGAGAAACAGCAAGCATTTTAATGCAGTAGTTAAGCTAACTCAGCATGCGTTAGATTACACACATGTAGCTGAACTTCATTGTCTTCAGGATAGTCAATCATTGCAAGTATCATGTCCACATTCTCTTTTTTAGCTAATATACTATTCAAGAAAAGCAATATCTAAGTGGAAAGAATGTAATGGTTTCCTTCACAATGAACAGTCAGTCAGTCAGTTTTCTGACCATTTTGCACCTGTTTATTCAATGAGGTAGCGATATTTTTCGTTATGAACGATAAAATACTTTGGATCTGCCAGCTGTCCTCATTCATTTCCCTCGCATTATATCAAATATATGCATTACATTAATTTCACCTCGTTCACAGTGCTGATAGTGAGTGAAGATCCCATCTTCATAATAATTTCCAACATTTTCATGTTGGAATTGATGGAAGGGGATAAGTAACAATACTTACCATTATTATTTCATTATATAGTATGTACAACTCACATATTTAAAGTGTTTACAGGAGTTATTAGCCATTTGAATCAATCGTTTTTTGTCCCTCTAACAATGAAATAGCTCAAATTTATCCAAGATTTATGAGATAGAAAATATGATTAAAACCTATAAATCCATTATCAACATTTGTGACACAAAATACTTGGAACTGTATGTTAATGTAGACGGAAGGTGGATATGGGATCCAATTCTTTAACTTGGTAGTTAAAGGAGAGGATTTGCCAAAGTGAGGGTCATCTATTCTGTATGAATTATAATTATATCTATATTATACAAATGTAAAGAAGATTGCTGAAAGTATTTTGGAAGACAAATAGTGGAGTATTTTTAAATTGATAATCGTTTATCTAAATTGCTGAAAAATTTTCGAAATTAAATGCTACAGTTTGGACGCTGGTAGAAAACAAAATTGCGGCAGATGTTTAGTGGTAGATGATCAAGGTTTGTTCAAGAAATATTCTGTGCAAGAACCGAAGTCGACGGTGATACCTTTGCTGACTGACTGCTTCCCTCCTCAACAGGTGGCATTTGAACTCTCACGTCACCATATTTTTTCCTGTTTATCTCTCTACTTTGGATGATTGATTTTGAATATCAGCTGCCCATGAAAATTCACATTTTCAAGGAAAATGAAAAGTG